TCAACAGATCATAATTTCTGTATTAAATCCATGTTTATTGATTTTTTAAGGTGGGTCTTACTGATATAATTTAACCTTGATACTAGAACATGTAAATTAAGAAAGGAAAACAATTATCGAGACAGAAAGCAGAGTTACATAAAATCTGCAAACTGGCTACTTGTAAAAAGTGTCTAACTAGATCTGCTTGCTCCTTTCAATGCTAAAAGGTTACACAAGATCTTTACGAAAGATTTGGTAATAGATTTTACCCTTGTTTATTTCTGACCAAAAGATAAGATGAAAAGGATCGGAACATGTTGCCCTTTGGTAAACACATAGTTTTAATACGATAATAACTAGCAGTGTCTAACGTAACTGAGCAATTGAAGAGATAGGAAATCAGGAAAATCAAGTCAGTCACCCATCCGATATATACATGGATCATGCATGTTCTTAATATGTAGTATGATTCAATTACTGACCCACATCTCTGATAGGATTTGTTTCTTGTAGCTTTGTTATGAACTGTTTACGAAGGAAATCTTGCAGCATTCATCAGAGGACAAATTCAGCAACATATTGTATTTGTATGGTATGAAAAGATCGTTGGATATATTTCCTAAGGACATGACAAGACTCGTATGTTTTGTGCAGAAAGGGAAGGAAAATCAGAAAATGCCAATTTTATGTATGCTATTTTATGGACAAAGCCTGGTCCTGATGAGTCTAATTATATATGCATATACATCGTCAATAATTAATCTTATGCCGGACCTTGTCTCAGCATGCTTTTTAACTTTTTCATAATTCTTTTTTTTTTAAATTATACCCATGCTTTTCCCCCCATTTGAAAAAGTATTTAGTATTATATGGGATAAGAATTACTAATGCGTGCCATATTGGAGGATTAATTACACTGCACTTGTTATTAACCAAAGATAATACAGCATAAAGAGTTGTAATTAACTTTTTAAGACTATAATTCTTTGTTAACTCAATCAACTCCTTTTAACTCCCACTTATTTACACAACATGAAGCTGATAGAAATCAAAATTATAGAAGCAGTCACAAACGGGCGCCTTTCAACTTAAAAGGTTCATTGTTGATATTTAAGTTTATCAGAGCAGTCATAGCATAATGAAAAGAAATTTTCAATAAATATTTGCATAATAAAGAGAAATTAATTTGTTTTAGGAATTATCAGAAAACATGAAAAATTCTAGCCTACAGTAATATATATATACACATACTAATATAAGTCTAAAATAATTATATTATTAACTATAATGAACAATTCTTTTTCTTTAAATATTTTATATAATTGTATTTATTAAAATTCAAACTCAAAAATACTTATTAAATTAACAATCTTTTTAACCTACATGCTTAATAGTTTATTTTTAATAAAAATATGTAAAATAGTTTCTTTTAAAAGGATAAAATAAGGATTAAGTATTCAAACAAATATGTCAAATTTGAAGGTCAACGGGTGCTGGGATTTTGGCACAGTCAATTAGTGAAATGAAATCAAATTGCAATTATTTATCAATTAATTTTGATTGACAATCAATGAGTTAAAAGTAATTGGTCTGCGTGGTCTATAAATGGCTTGAGACAAATTCAAAGAGAGGAGCGTTTTTAAGTTCAGAGACCATAAAAAGAGGCACAAATTAGACCTACGTGAGAGGTAGAAGCACGTACTGTAGATTAGAGTTAAAAAAAAGTAAGAGATAGAGATGACTCTTTCTGAGATCTTGCAGGTACATCAACTTTTTCATCCATACTGTTTGCATATTGATATTTCATTTTTCTTTTTGTTACTGTTAATTTATCTTTGCTTGTTGAGCACGTCCTGCGTGATTACAGGTTTCAACTTTTATTTTACTTTTTAAAATTTGTTTTTCAGATCTTAAATTTTAATATTAAATTACTATAAACAATATTAACTTAGATTCAATTTTTAAAACACAAGTTAAACTAAATTCAATATTGATTAATTGTTCCACATATTTAACAGTATATAGTTATTTATAAATATAAAAAAACTACAACATACATAATTACAAATAATCACATTAACAATGATGTCTAAACTTTTTTTTAGCAGTCATTGTTATATTTTATTTGTTTAACATATTTTAAATTTAAATGCCGTAATTTACATAAAACAAGGTAAATTTTTAAATTTGGATAATAACAAAAATATTAAATATAATTTAAAGTATGAATCAATATTCTTGATAATTGCTGAACTTGTGAATCATCGGTAGATAAGAGATTATTTTAACTTAACATATAATTTTGAATTTTAATTTCAATTATAAGTATCAGAAAGAGAGTTTTGTATTCATTGATTTAAAAACTGATATTTTTAAACTTTTCTTCACTATTTTGTGAATATGGGTTTTATTTTAAATAAAGAATGTTTAACCATATATATATATAATATAATGTCACATTTAAAAATAAATATTTTTTTATCTTACAAAAGCAAATTATATTCTTTAAAGATAACACTAATTTATCAATAAAGATTAATTAGAATAGTAAGCGACTCAGTATTGTTTAAATAAAATTTATGTTTAGAGTTTTTGTGTATATAAAAAAATTTTAATAATAAACTCACTCATTACATGTTTAAGTGCATAACTTAGGTTAAATCTAAATTAAACGAGATGAAATAAAAATACTAATTTATAAATAACTCTTATCAGAATAAATAATGTATGGTACTAACATTTTTTTTCTACGTGTAATACCATTAACCTGAAGTTTAATATGTAAACCTCATTTCAAAAAGTATTTGATTGCACGATTTTATTTTAAACAGATACTGCGTTTGGTTATAGCTTCGAAACTTTGTTTTAAATATTACTTATCTTCTCACCGTGACTTCCTTCAAGACAAGTTAAGACAATTGTGTTTAAGAAATAAAATATATATGTTATATTGAGAGTAATTATGAATAAATTTTTCAAAAACTCAAATTTACTTTTCATATAACTTTAAAAGTTATTGATAACTAATTTTGATCACTATATTATTATTTTTAGAGTTTTAAAAGATGGAAACAAAATTTCAAATCCTTGAAGATTACGCGAATAATGGCTGAAAAATGAAATATACCTAAAAAGCTTAGTTATTTATTTTAATAGTACAAGCAGTACAAGATGAACAATCCGGACATAGAACAAACATCCCATACAAAACAATCTGATAAACTTAACGTCCCTCGCAACTACTGACATTTGTTTTTCTTTTCTTTTATTCACTGTCGATTTTGAATTGCATAAAGTCGTATACACACATGCCTCGTTAATTATATTTTTATTCTGTTATTTATTTTTCATAATTAAACTCTTCCTTGATCATTACAACGGATCAGACATGATCATTAAATAAAATATGATCAGCATAATGACGTACAGCTGCAGGCAAAACAACAATGAATTAATTATGAGCAGGAACTATCAGAGGATATATCCACAAACTAATAATTTGCATGGGTACCGGTAAGAATCCTGTACATTCTATGAATATTTTAATTTTAATTTAATTAATTAATTTAAAGGATATTATATGAATATTTAACAAAGGTAATGCCTTTTGTCTTTCGTTTTGTTGTGAGTGTGGTAATTAAGTTGGAATTTAATTAATTAGAATAACATTGTCCACGAATTCATATTAAATAAAATATTATAACTGCGTACCTCGAGCAATCCAAGGCCTGGATTCTATTATTTTCCTATTTTGGGACCGTTGAGAGTTGGGGTTAGCTAAGCTTCATTTCATAAAATGGGAACATACATAATTCAATGATTATGACCTCATCATTTATATACAGCTAGCATAGCAGACATATACATTTGCTAATGTTGATGACTGCTTCGAGTGCCTAATTAAACCAATATTTCTCATCCTTGCCACTAATTAAAAAATATAGAAAGATTATTCATATAAATTTACAAATTAATTATTTCATTTTTTAAAAATGGGTAAAAGGAGAGAGAGAGAGAGAGGGAGAGGGAGAGAATGGTTAACTAGTTTGGCTTTGGCTTGGCACTTGAGAGCTTGACAAGGATCGTCCCAGACTGAGGGTCTGCACCCACGTGAACCATCCTTCCGTGATGTCCCCACACAGATCCTCCGTATCCATACGTGGACCCCTAAGTGTAGAACTTTGACCTCTCATCCATTATTTTTTTACACCTTAAATTTATAACTGGTCATGTATTTTTTATTTTTATTTTATCTCTTCTTTTATGAATTTACCTGTTACATTCTTTTTTATTCTCCTACTGGATTAAAAGTATATACACCCGTGAAATGATCTTTGTTCTTTGTCAAGTGGCAACTTCAGGAGATAGGTGTAAAAAAGCTTCAATGTGATACAACTATACAACCATTTTTATTTGTCGTTTCCCCTCCCTCTCTTTGTGATCATTCTCAAATGGTTTAATTAAATATAAATATGACCCCTTTTTTATATTTATAAAAGATTGTATAATTCTTATACAAAATTAGAAATATGCATTTTTTATAATTTAAGAAATAATACTGAAAAAACTAAAATAAAATACTATTCTTTAAAAACCTGCAAAATTACTGTTTGATTTGTGCTTCATACATAACCTTATTTAATTAGTGTCTATTTTCTATTGCCAATTCTCATATTTTTAAAAAAAATAAAAGACACATTTTTAAAAAAAATTACTTTTAGCATATATCTTAATTTTATTCTGTAATTTTAAACTAATTTTACTTATCTTCGAATTAACAGTTCTTAAACTTTTTTTTTCTTTTTCCGGTTTTACCTTTATAACGCTAGAATTGAGCTCTAGATCTTAATATCCAGGGCCCAATAAATGTACTATTTGACAATGAGGGACGTGTATCTCGTGGCTCCTCTCACGTTAAGATCCACGTGCCCTTACTCTGGGCTTCAGCCCAGTTTCTCGTGGTCACCTGTCCTATAAATTAGCCTGTATCTTAATTACTAGACACACAGTAATGACTCTTTCATCACAATTCACCGCACGCACAGAGTTTCTTGATTTTCATGCCAAACCCTTCTTTCTTTCTTTGAGAGACACTCTGCCAATATATCACTAGATCCACTCCTTTGTATTATTTGTATGCGTTTTTATATACATATCCACTAAATTCAATTGCACATCGAGATTCTTTCTTTCTTCCTTTATTTTTTTTAAATAAGAAGAAATAAAAAGGATTTGGGCTTGGGAAAGAATCGAAGAAAGTGAGGGAGAGGGAGAATCTTTTATCTTTGTGCATGTTGCGTACAAAATCTTTAAAGCGAAATCGTGCATACGTTAACCCACGACTCCCCACGACGCTGCTCCAAGATTTTGTTCTCTTAGTTCTCTGGAGCTCTCCAACATTCTTATTTCTTCCCTTTCCCTCATCCACTTCTCTCATCCACCCCAATAACTCATCGTCACCATCATCGTCGTACACTACACACACATGACATGCATGTATCTGCATTAATTCCTTATAATAAGTGAAAACACACACACACACACACGTACGCTAGCTAGCTAGCTTGTGGTTGTGGGGTAGTTTTAAATAAATAATAAATAACCAATGGGCGTCAACAACGGCAAGCTTGTTCTGTTAACATTTGCTATATGTCGTTTGATAGTAACGGTGGGGTTAACGGAGCTGTTCGATGTGGCACTAGAGGGTGGAGTGAGCGTGGAGAGGCAAGAAGTGGAAGCGGCTTCGGTGGATTTCGGGATGTTGGGAAGAGGAGAGGCTTTGGCGGTGGTGCAGGCGGCGTCGGCGGAGGACGTGGGAAAGGCGGTGAAAGCGGCGTTTGAGTGGGGTTTGGCGGTGTCGGCACGAGGGCACGGGCACTCGATAAATGGGCAAGCGTTGATAAAAGGGAAGAAGAAAGGGGTGGTTATAGAAATGGGGAAAAAGGGTGGTGAAGGAATGATAAGAGTGTGTTGGGAAAGAATGTATGTGGATGTGTGGGGTGGGAATTTGTGGATAGAGGTTTTGAGTGCAACATTGGAGTATGGGTTGGCTCCCATGTCTTGGACCGATTACTTGTATTTGTCTGTGGGTGGAACCCTATCCAACGCTGGGATCAGTGGACAGACCTTCAATCACGGTCCTCAGATCACCAATGTTTATGAGCTCGATGTCGTTACTGGTAAGTCTAAACATTCATTCTTTATCATTCTTCCATTGCATTCCATATTCATTTATTCTGTTATCTTATTTTAATATTTCTAAGTTAATATTATATATATATTTTAAATATATTCTACAATTTTTTTAATATTACAATAATACTAAATAATTTTCCACTTTGAACTTATTAAAACTACTTTCATAGTTAGTTATTGCAATACTTCTATGTTTTACATCTAGCTCTTTTATGTGTAATTTTGGGAGATAATATTAGTTTTTTTTATTGCATTTTGGATGCATTTATACATCAAAGCTAAAAATAAGTTAAAATAAAATAATTATATACGGTATTTTTTATAGTATCAATTTTTAATTGCTTTAATGTAAGAAGACTTGTAAAAACTAATAATGGCCGGGTGTATTCACTTGATTTGAAATATAGTTTTGTTACAGTATTATTTTTTCTTTTTATTGTGGAGAATTTTATAAAGAAAAATGAGAATAACATTACTCTTCAATTTAAATAAATGTCTCTTAATTTCTCACTTTTATTAGTTGGAAAAGCTAACCCTTATATCGCATTGCAAACTACCACATCTCGTAATTTTGCTTTGTGTACTTGTTAATGTTCGATATTTCTTTTGTTTCTAAATATTAGTTTCTCTTGGGGGAGTTCCTCATATATACATTATTTTAAAGTTACTTAAATTTTTTAATGCGATTGCAGGCAAAATTTGTTAATTTTATAAAAAAAAAGTATGCTTGTACTAACTAGTAGTTCCCGTAATGGAAAATTTTTCACTATTTAAACAACGATGTCCCACTCATTTGTCATGGCTTTAAGTACAAATCAAACTGGTTTGTCTTTAGCGTGGTTAATTAGTACTCCGTAACATATTGCTATGATAATGTTTGGATGTTTGCTGCTGTAACAGGAAAGGGTGAACTGTTGACGTGTTCAGAAGATCGTAACTCAGAGTTGTTCCATGCGGTTCTTGGAGGTCTTGGACAATTCGGAATCATCACAAGGGCTAGAATTGCTCTCGAACCAGCTCCTCAGAGAGTAACTATCTCTCCTGCGTACTTTATTTGTCTCCTTTTCTTACGCACAAATATACACTACCCAATTCCTTCTTTCTTTGTATGACACTCATTTTTATAGTTTTATTATTAGTTTTTATGATATCACGTTTTCTTTGAATTTTTAAATAATAAATTGCATTGCTTAATACGTACGTACTCTTCATGTTTCTTAAAGCAACTCAGTGTAAATGAAAAATGAAAAAAAAGGGTAAATATTCCTTTTTATTTTAAATGTCGGTTGAAGATGATTTGCTTCATTTGATAGGAGGGGCATACGATAGTGATGATACGTCTTTTCTTGGAAATCTTTCTTCACATCAGCGACAAAACATAAAAAGAGTCGTTTTCGAAGGGATGGTTTGGGTACTCTCCTTCTTCTAATAATATAAAGCTGAAAATCTCGTTTGGGTGTCGCCAGCTGCCTAGCCATTCTCAATTTTATTTAATTTCTGTTAACAAACTCACAGTTCTATATTGGTTATTTAAACAAAATCATAACCGGTGACTGATGTGTCAAGCCAGTAGATTATCGTTAATTAATATTGTGGTGCCGCACTGGTTTAAAGAATTAAAAATTATACATTTTTATTAAGAATTTCATTAGACTGTATTATAAATGAATTATATGAAAATAAGTGCATTTATTAGATTTTTTTGATAAAGTATTTTTGTTTTTAAATTTTAAATTTTAAATCAGTACTCAAGGACTCTGGTTTGTTGGTGTTTGTTAAATTTTATTAACGTTAGATATAATATATATATCATAAATATTATTGTACAGGTTCGTTGGATACGAGTACTGTACTCCAATTTTTCAACCTTCTGTAAGGACCAGGAGTTTCTCATCTCTCTGCATGGGAAACCAGCAAGGCAGAGATTCGACTATGTAGAGGGTTTCGTGATAGTGGATGAAGGGCTCATCAATAATTGGCGATCTTCATTCTTTTCACCAAGTAACCCTGTCAAAATCACTTCCCTCAAAGCTGACGGAGGTGTTTTGTACTGTTTGGAGATTACCAAAAATTACAACCAAGAGAACGCCGATTTTGTTGATGAGGTATACGCCAAACCTAACGTAGATTTTCTATTGTTAGATAGTGACTTAAAATGAGTACACTTAGCTTACCCTGATTGAAATTGTCTAGTTACATTTTTTAATTTGACAAACTTAAGTGTAATATTATACATATTTTGGTGTTTTTAATTAAAATTAAAATTATACTTCAATAAATATATTATCATTTAAAGTTATTACAAATGATTAAATTAAACTTCTAATTTTAATTAAAAAATTACACCTAAATTTGTTTTAACTTAAGATAAATTTGACAACACTTAGTGCATTGTGACCATAAAAATATTGATACATCATTAATTTTATTAAGTTGTGTCATTTAGTGCATTAATGTATTAATTTATTAAGTATACTCAAGTTTGATATACATTGAATTATGACTGGAATCACTCTGCCTTGCTAGATAGGCTCGGAATTATCCTCATATTTATTTATTTATTTTTGAATATTTTTTGTTTTATTTTTTTTACATTTTTTAAAATTCAGTTGCTGATTTGGATCACTAAAATGCTGTTAAATGTGTTTTTAGTTGGATAGTCGACTAGAAAGATTAAAAACAATAATTTACAAAAATATAAAGATTAAAATAAAAAAATTATATTTAAATGAACTTAAATAAAAAAAATTGAATAAAATATATAGAGTGAAAATATCTTTATGTCTTATTTTAAATTATGCATGTAGAAGATTATTAAATTGAACAATGATTATTTATGTACCTGTTTGAACCCTCTTATTCTAAAGTTAAAGAAAATAATGAAATAATTAGTATAAGGGAATTTTGAAAAACAAACTTTTTTTTCAAAAAAGAAAAATTGTTTCTCTAACATGCCAACAGATGTGTCATCTTTCGCGTGAGTTATTTATTAAGAATGTTAAAATGTGAATAATTTAAACAAGTAAGAAAGTGTTTTAGTACCATCCAAGATGTTATTTAAATTCTAGTGGCTTGAAAGAATATATATGAAATATAAGTATAGGGACATCATCTCCAGAGATCCGATAGGGTATATAGGGATGGAGAAACAAATTAACTGGCAAATTAAACATGAAAGAATAAAACGGCTTTGATTTGCATAACACTATTAGATGGAAAGCTGTTTCACGATCCAGAAAATAAAGAAGAATCCTTACTTTAAACTTTTACCGCTCCAAACTTATTGTTGTATATCATTGCAATGTCACAGTGTTTTCTTCGTTCACAAATCCATGTTTCGTTTAATGATTCAATATTTGCTGTTTTTAAATCTTATAAATGTTTAATTTTAATTGTTAATGATATTTTTTAATTGGCAAAAAGCCAAGTGATTACCTCTAGACAGCGTAACAACAACAGTATACATCAAATTTTTTTTCTCTTATTATCTCATTTTCTGTTGAATCCTACGACCACCTAAATCTTTGATTTAATTTGTTTGTTTACGTTGTCGCCATTTATTGAATATAAGCATTGCTTCTTCCTGCGTCGCTGTCCTCGGATATGATTATTCTCTGTACTCAAACATAAACCAGTTTGTAGTTATACAACAGAATGCAATAAAACATACAAAAGAAAACATGTGGAAGATCTTGTGCAATCTATCATCTCGATTCAATCGCGAGACTGAAGGCAACCTTTACAATAGTTAATTCAAAAAACAACGCCGGCAGCCATCACATTATTCTCTTACTTGTTTTGATCTTCTCTTTAAATCTTGCCAAAGCTATATAGCTAATTTAAATAATGGGGTTCATCCCGACAAAAGCAGCGACTACCTAAGCTAGCAGCTTTCTTTTTCATATATAGCTATTTAAATGCTATGCTTTTGTATATATATACATGCATGAATCTAATTTCTTTAACGTGAGAAAAAATATAAAATAAGAAAGTGATAATTTATCTCTTCTTAATTTAAAGTCAATTATATTTATAATAATTTTAAATCAATGACTGATAAAATTTTACTTTAAAAGAACTAAATTCGTATCGATCCACTTTTATAAATATATTTAAACGTGTTACATTAATTTGTTAGTGGTTTTGCGTTTTTATGATGTACAGGAGATAGAGGGTCTATTGAAAAAGTTAGATTTTATACCAACATCGGTGTTCACAACGGATCTGCCTTATGTGGATTTTCTGGATCGTGTACATAAGGCTGAGCTCAAGCTTAGAGCCAAGGGTTTATGGGACGTCCCTCATCCATGGCTCAACCTTTTTGTTCCAAAATCAAGGATAGCGGACTTCGACAAGGGTGTGTTCAAGGGCATTCTGGGAAACAAGACAAGTGGGCCTATCCTCATTTACCCTATGAACAAAAACAAGTAAGCCTATATATTTCCGCATGCATCCATTTGCTACACTGTATTGTTTCGCTTATCATATTCATGCATGTCCTACTCATATTTAGATATAAAACCACTGCATGCTTGCAGGAATGCATAGATCTCCTCATATATAAACGACATATCTTACTGGGTGTCAGTGTTAAGGTCTATATCTCATCGCCCTTTTCCGATCCCCCGCTTAATTAGATAAAAGGAATAATAAAAGAAAAGGAGTGAAATGAAGGATGGTGAAGTTGTGATCCTTTGAGAGAGAGAACACTATATATTTATACAAAGAATATTCCCAATAATAGTGGAACCTAATGATAATGTTTGACGATTCTCGACAACTGATTGACAGATAGAATTGTTGTTGGCAAGGATTAATGAATGGAACCTGTACGTTTATATTAAATCTTAATTATACATGGCAGGCAAAATCAAGATCCTCAATAATTCGTGAATTAGGTGACATTTGTTATGAATTATATAAGGTAAATATCTCTAATAAACAGATAATAGCCAAATATATCTTAAACCAAAGAATGGTTATTTCCAAGTGGAAATGGAAAATGTGGAAAGAACAACCACGGCGATGTACATGTAACCAACACAGCAGATGAAAATCTGCATCAAAGCCAGCTAGGAAGTGCCACGATTTTCTTTTCCCTTTGCGTAGACCGGAAGCAAACAAAACGGACGGCCATGGTCATCCAGCTGAGGAGATTCTGCTGTCAGAAGATCTTCTATGGGGGACCCACTCTTGGAATGGTAGGGATACACTAACCTAGTTCCAGCTTCCACAGACACCGCCGTATGTTCACGCAACCATACCCGTCCATGTCAATATCAATATTCATAAATAAATCATAATTGCACTTAATTATATTTCAATTTTTCATTTAGACATAAAAAAAATAATGATAGCAAGTTTCACAAACAAAATTCAAACGTGCATGCAAATTAAATTCCCCCTTGCGTTGGCCTCTGACAAGTCACACGATTGTTAACAACGTAGTAGTAAGTAAATCCCACCAACTGTCTACTACCGTTTTGCATCATTGCATGCATGAAAAGAAAATTCCATAACGTGATTTTGCTGATGGTGATGGGTATGTAGGTGGGACCATCGGAGCTCGGTGGTGATACCAGAAGAGGAGGTGTTTTACCTGGTGGCATTTCTGAGATCAGCATTGGATACTGAGACACTGGAGTACCTGACTAATCAGAACCGTCAGATTCTGAGATTCTGCCATGATTCGGAGATCAAGGTGAAACAGTATCTGCCCCATTACACAACACAGCAGGAGTGGATGGACCACTTTGGAGATAAGTGGACCCAATTCAATGCCAGGAAAATGCAATTCGATCCTCGACGAATCTTAGCCACGGGCCAACAAATATATGAATTTGAGCCCTCCCTCTCCGTCACCAAGGATGACATGTAGCAACATGCAAAACAACTTCCGAAGGACAACAGTGGAAAGAGATAAATAAGGGAAGGGATGGTTATAATTAAGTAGTGAGTTTAGGGTATAAATAAGCAGTGTTGTACTATCATGATTAGGAATTACAAGGAGGATCACAGCAAGAATTTGTGCTGGTGCAGCGATGGTTGAGGTGTTGCTATCTGAGATTACTAGGGGGAAAATGTTGCGGGAGTTCTGTTATCATTATATATATATACATGAGTTTGCTAATTAAGCTGCCCAAGGCTTAGGCCCAATAAGTGGGAATTGATCTGCTGGGGCCAATGGGAAGGAAAAGGGCAAGCTGCACATGACATCTTGCTGAGCAGCGCCCGTGATCCCGACCGCCCGTGTGGTTTGGTTGTCTTGTCCACAATCATGCAGCTGTTTCCACTCTTTTTCTAAAGAAAAAGTAGCTTTTAGCTCTTATTATCCATCCAAATTCCTTGTACATATAATTCGTCCAGATATATTAGATCTGTCTGCCTTCTCTTTTAGCTTCAAGGAGCAAGAATGCATGAAAAAGAAGTTCAAATGGAAACAATTACACTGACCCATTATAAAACAAAATGGTATTTATGAAAAATGATGACGACAAGTTAATCAGAGTGAAGGAACACCATTTATTTTATGAAAAGTAAGGAGTACAATGTACAAAAATATTAAATCGGAAGACCAATTCGACCTCTACCATGCAATGGAATTGCCAAAAAATTTATGGCTTATATCGCCCATCTTCCTTCAAGGTGTCAGTCATCCAGCTTAGCGTGTCATCATAAAACCTCGGGCGGTAATCAGAGCTCGATGCTTACTCCGCGGAAAGGGAACGTGCATCATACCAGTTTATTCAAGATTATTCTTTACTAGCAATATAATACCACACAAATATAGACGTAATTGCATGACATACACACAACCATTTATGCTACTTTAATCCCAAAGGATTTTATGAGAAAGAAAAGCTTAACCAATTCGTACCACATACGGGCATAGCTTTTGCGGATTCGTGAAACATTCCATTTGATCGAAAACTAGAACAAGCGTAGATACCTTCAGGTACACACAAGGGATTGACTAGGGACTTCGGGATATTAACAGATAATAACACAGTTCTCCTATTTGTTGTGGATGATCAGACCAAGGATATATTATTCACTGAACCGATTACTAGATTCGTATTCAGATGTGACAGTAGCAGAATCTATAACCATGCAGTCTGTACGCAATTAAGACAGGCTGGGGAGCTAAATAAAACAGCGGCTCACCACAATCAGATCATGTTGTAGAAGTAGGATACAGAAGCAATTAAGGAATTCAGCTTTGTCATTTTTCTCATTAGTACGACCCAACAGCTACCCTGCTATCTTGCCCTGCCCTGAGTAGACATTTACAATCAATTTTGTTGTACTCTGTTGGTGTGTGTCCTGAAGAGCTGAATCCTGGGGAGCCAAGGACAAAAGGTGGATGCTAAGTATACCGGGCCCAACCATCTTAATATGATCCGCAATAGTGCTTCAACAGCAGTGGTAAAATCATCTCATTCATCTAGGTGGAAGACCACTGCCAACCCAGTAGAAAGATTGAGCAACAGAGACAGCTAAACCACATCCTTCTCTGTTAATTACAGATGATTTTAAGCTTAAGAGAACAATAATTTGACCAAAAATTGATACCAAAGAAAAACCAGCAAAGTAAAATCAAACTTACCAGTAGGAATAATCTGCACTAGTTTGAATCATCTTCCACTTCGGGTTGCTTCCCAAATTTTCTTAGTGCAAGTGAATATATAGTTTTTCTACTCACTGATGATCTGCCGGTAACCAATTTCACAGCCTAAATTAAACACCAGCAGTTGAAATTAATTAACAAATGCATGGAAAGTACACAGTAATTATAAGCTGAAATGAAAGAAAAAAAATTGAACTGTGATTCTATTAAAAATGAGTCAATCAACTTATGAGGTAAAAAGATACATTTGAGCTAATTTTAAACATGATTAAATTCAATTCTAAGGGAATAAAATAGAAAACAAGAGATATAGGTTATGTCAGAAAAGAGGTGCAGTTCAAAATGATTATTATATATATTATCTATATAAAGCTTCTACTAAAATAAATTTACTGTGGAAAGACTCGCGCCACTTGCAATCAGTTCTCTTAGTTCACTCTCAAGCTGAATGTGAGACGGAGTTTCAACTTTAGAATTTGCTTGTCCTTCAATCAATATGGTAAGTTCTCCCTTCACTTGACGAATAGAAAATAATTCCTTGGCTTCACCAAGAGTACCACGCCAAAACTACATAAGCAATATCTAATATGTCAGTTAAAAGAACAAATCATATGACAAGTATAATATGCTAATTGATTGAACAAACTATTCACAAAATTCTACAAAACAAAAGCATGCTGATGGTGTAGCTATTAAGTTACATATGCCTCCTGGTTGTCTGCCAGAAAATCCACACATACAAATACATCATCCTTATCCTCACCCCTGTCAAAAATACTATGCAATATGATTTTTAAGTTACAGCCAGAATCAGGTACAAAAGAAGTAAATTTAAATCCCAAAGTCAAGCATACCACCATAATCATAGTTGATGAACAATTAAATCTTGTAGCAAGACAAAACAATATATGTTTTTGCATAAGAAAAATAGTCATTTTGCATATTGAGAAATGCAATAGCAAGGCATCATTGCTATGATTAACCTTATTTAATTTATAATATTGGCAGCAAATATACAGAGTCGGAAACTATTGGGTTCCATTGTTCTGGTTATCACAGATTAAGTGAAAAGTAGTTGCAGAATCAATGGCTTCAAGGTAACCATAACAGAGATACGATAACTAACCAATTTCAAGAAATATAATCAGTGTTCAAACACTACCGAATTCAGGGAGTCAAATTCTAAACCTACCTCTTCATGTAACTTGGTCATTTCCCGAGCAATAACACATATCCTGCAATATCATCATCATATTGAAGAGTCAACCGATCTGGGTCAATATAACTTCCCAAGCCATACCTCTGTCCTCCTCAGCTAATATTGCCAAAAGGAAAGTTTGAAGGACAAATTAAGTATACTCCCCATCCCCCCCAAAATCAAAATTCATGAGTTAGTTATCTAAATGATTAATATATTGCAAAAAAAGCAACCAATGTATTCTCCAATCGGAAAAAATAAAATAAAAGTGAGAGGCAAGTATGCTGATTGATAGAAAAAGTTGACAAGCACATAGTACTTTCGTTCATCAAACTAAGCATTATAAACATCACTGTGTTGGCTCTCAGTACCTCGTATCACCAAATATTGAAGAACACTCTTCAAGAAATTGAGAAAGTTTGTGAGGAGGAACATAAAATATTTGTGTTGTTGTTTGATCAGCTGAAACCATAAGCCTTTTTCTTCTTGAACCTGAATGCTTTGGAAGAAAACCAACTACATAAACATAAGTCACAACAGCCATTTCAATTTTCAGGTCCCAATACAACACAAATGCCAAAGTCTCTATAATAGTCAATCCACCAACAGTTTATCCAGCTAATTACCAAATGTAAATTCATCAGTTGGTAAACCTGATGCAGAAAGAGCCGATACCAAAGCACAGGGACCAGGGATAGGAACAACCAGGATATTTTCACTAACACATAATTTGGCCTGCATCAAATTTTGAGAAGCTTCCTAATGAGTAAGAAACCTCCAAAATCCACTAACCACACACGCACACACTTAAGAAACATTAAAGAAATGCTGATAATAATAAACACGGCAACAGCAACATACCAACTCCATACCAGGATCACTGATACCTGGCATTCCAGCATCACTTATAAGTGCCACAATCTCACCCTGCTTCAGCCTCTTCAGCACAATCTGTTCCCTTTGTGATTCATTGAATTTGTGATAACTCATCTGAAGATTATTTTACAATGATTCTTATGCTTGCACAACCTTTTATTTACAGAAAGGGAATTATTTTACAATGATGCTCATGCTTGTCCAATATATTAATATGTTAGGTGGAACTTAGAAGATTCATCCCTTTCAATTAAATATAGATTAATCCAATTTACTCGTGAAGAAGTGACTCTGATCCTTGGCTTGCCCTCTGAAGGAACATACATAGATTTTTCATGTAACAAATGAAAGCTCTTTTGTCCATCAATTATGTAATGTCATTGATGGAAAGATCTCTTATGAAAAATTTTGAAAGCGATAGAAGAAAATAAATATAATGATAATGTAAAGAATTTTGTGCTTGTACATAGCTGCCTGTTTTATAAGTTTTACTTTTTACCCTCTAGTGCATTTCTTGATTTCTTGTTGAAATATCTAGATGGTGTTAATCATCTTGATAGTTTTAAGTGAGCTAAAGTTGTACATGGTAAGTCACTTTCTACTCTTAATAATACATCCTGTAAGCTTAGTCATTGTCCAACCAAGATTGATTTGAATGGCTGTGTAGCTTTTTTAATAGTAAGTACATATTTTCTCGATTAGCTTTAGTTACTTTTTATTATCATACATCATTTGATTGACTATATATTTAATCAGGTTTTTTCTTTTCATTAGGTATGGGCATTAGAATATATATGTACATGTAATAGGGCTTCAGTTAAAAATTCACTAGTGTTTTACAATGACTCGATAAAAATAATTTCTCAGACAAGGAAGTGAAGAAAAAATTTGTTGATGAGGTATCAAGTTTGCAAAACAGGCGGAGCAGCAGTGCTGCCGGCGAAGGTAGTCGGAGTTCATGATGCTTATTGTAAACCTTCACCAGCAGCATCTGGTTGCCGCTCCACTAGTGAAGTGGATGAATTCCCTAAATCCAATCTTGCCAACTTTAACTCCCCAATCGTGTTTTACAAGCTTGGACTAATCTATCTTCAGTTAAAAAGGATGAATATTCTGTTTCACCTTATATATAGGACAAGCGTAAGCATACCCTGCTTCGACCTCTTCAACACAACCTGTTCCCTTTAACTCGTCTGAAGATCTAGACAAGAGTATTGGAAGAGGTAAACTAGGAAGCAGAACAATCAAACGTTGCGAAAAAGAAGAGGCTTACAAGGGGTGTTTTGATATTGTAGTGATGAAGCAACTTCCCAGAGTGTCTCGTGTCCTCTGAGAGTATGACATCAGCAGAATTCAGCACGCGAAGAGCCCTGCGCGTGCACACCAAACAAAATCTGTTAAACTTAAACACCCAAGTGAAAAGAGGAAGAAAATACTCGTGTGAAACGTTTCGTGCCTCAGGGTAATGTCTTCGAGATTTCCAATCGGTGTTCCAACGAGATAAAGACCGGGTTTCAGAGACTGCGAGTGACGATTATCCGTTTCGTTAACCTACGAATGGAAATTCAAAATCGGTGATTATTGCGAGGAATAAAATGAAATAACCCAAGGCATGGCTTCAAAATGAAATTACAGGTTTTTGTGATTGAGGAGGGGGATGGAAGCCAGAGCTAGAGCAGAAGGAGAAAAGGGAAACGGTGAGTTGCTTGCGCATGGGAATGCTTGCTCCATACATAGCGCCGAAATTCAACGGAAGTGGTGAGCCCACAGAAATCGCCGTCCAAGGCAATCGCCGAATCAACATTGTAACCTCTTCGTCTTCGCAAAATTGGAAAGCAACAATGCATTTGCAACACCCGTCTTTTTTCTTTTGGACAACAGTCAAAAATAAATTTATTTGATCGGTTAATTAATAATTTAAAAAATTCATGAAAAAAAAAGGGGGAAATCAAGCCAAGTTTCGGACTTTCTTTGTCACCTTTTTTGTTTTCCTCCAAACAGATTCAGAGAAGGCCCAAACTAAGCTTAAAGCATTCAGTCCGAGTCCGACCCAAAAAAAAAAAGACGAACAACAGGTTTTGGCCCAAAAAAAATTCAACAATGGGCACTTTGACCGAAAAAAAAATGTTATTCTTTTACCTCTGTTTTTTATATGGTCTTATTATACCTTTCTATTAATCCTTCTGATATTTTGAGGTAAATATGAAATAAAATTATAGATGCATTCAAATTTTTTTATTCAATAAATAAGAGGAATTATAAATAAAAACAGAATTTAGAATTTCTAATTTTTTTAGTTTAACTTTTAAAGTACTTTTATTTTTAAAGATAACACCTACTTCATTTAGCGAACCACCTATATTAATGTCTCTCCTCCTCGTGTTCATATACCTTCAACACTCCTCTACGTTTAAATTTTTCTTTGGTTCAACTATCAGCCTCTCACGACACAAAATGATTTCTCCATGCTCAATGAGTTTAACTCGATGGAAAATTTTAGAGGTATAATTTATAAAAATAACATTTTATTTTTTTATCTCATTTTAATAGATTTTGTATATAATTTATGAAAATAAAATATGTTTAAATAAATTTAAAAAATTTGTTATATTTATTTTAATAAATATATTTTACTTACAAAACTATTATCTGTTGCATTTAACGAAGAAAAGTCAATTATTTGTTTTTTTTTTTCTTGGTTACTGTAGCCATGCTTCACTAAAAATTACAGTTATGTGTTTTTTTTTTTTTTCTAACTTTTAGCAGTACCCTAAAAATCTGCGCTCTGCTTTTAAAAACAAAAGAAAATGATGAGTTTTTTTTTTTTTTTATGTTTTTAAAAGCTAAGTCTACTTGAAGAGTTTTATTTTTTATGATTTTTTATTAAACAATATTTTCCCCGATATATTCTGTTAATTTAGTCACACTTTTCACTCTCATAAATAAAATTAAGCACAATATACCTTACTTTATCATAATCGTTGCAATCTGTCTTTCTATCCAATTTTAAAATTATGCTTACGGGAACATGTTATATACACTTTGTGTACATAATTTCTTTTTACTGAGGATATATATTTTAAAAACAATTATTTTTTTATCAATCTTTTTTTATTTTTTCTTAGTGAGTAGTTGCTAATGCCTAGTAGTTTTATTTTTCCTGAATGTCCTGATTTATAACATCCAATTGGAGTTCTAAATGAAACAAAATGATGATAAGACTTTAAAGATATAGTCCAGTATGATCATTATAACTCTTTTGCCAATTTTATAATTATTTTTGTCTTTCCTTTTTACTTTAGTCACCCACAAAAGTAGTTAAATAATTAGATCAATTTGATTCTGTTTCAAAACATTATTATCTCTTAACTCTAATCAAATAGTTATATAGCATGTCCTGTTAAAATAAATTTAAAAATTAGATGAAAAAAACTATAATAATTGTCATAAATTATAGTATATTATACTTAATTTATATACATAGACGAAGCTAATCTAACATATTAGGAGAACAAAGTAATATTCATTCTTTCTTTTCTTATTAAAACCCGATCAGTTGGTATCTTCATTTTTGTATGAAAAAAGTAATCGAAAGGATTTGTTAAAAAATGTCTCAAGAACGTTGGTTAAATAATAATAATAAATGCTATCGATAATTGATATTATAAATTTTAAAACTTCTGATAAAGGTGCATTGTTAATTTTTTGAATAAAATATTAATTTTATAAGTTTTAATCAATATCTAAAAAGTACTTAGTATATTAAGATCCGTGAAATTAAAAATATACAAAATAATGAAAACTCTAATTAAAAGCCAAGTGGTTTTCCACCCACCTTTAATTCCTAACAAATAATCTGACTTGCTAACCAATGGAATTATGGGAACCCTCCGAATCTAACTCACCCCACGATTGCCTGAAAATATTTGAATCGAACCATTTTTTATGGGAAAAAGGAAAAGGGCATGCCCCTTAGAAGCCTCACCCACTTATTAGCTTCTCCAACCATTTATTCAGCCGTTTTCATTAGAATTACAAGGTTAAATAATTAGAGCAACAAGTCAGTGGCTGAATAATTAGAGCAAGAATTCCATCAGTTCAATATTTGAGGCTCGAAAAAGAACTATTAATAGCCTTTATGAGAGAATTACCTTTTGCATTCAACATTCACAGCTTAATCATTACTCACTCCTACATTCTCAAGAAAGGAGGGGATGGATGCAAAACTTGCGAATCTTGCTAGCTAGTTTGGCCAAAAACATTGAGACCATGATGACCTGTATCACACCATATCAAGTCTTTTTTTGGTAAAAAGGTACCATCGATACATAACTAACAGGGTTTCTTGCAGGTTGTGACCAATATTTTCATCAAACCCGTTTCCTAGTAGTTGTAGGTCACTAATTACGCATTTAATCAGCGGAACCCATAAGACATTTGATTTGCCGCCACCATGGATAACATCACATCCATAGAATAGATCGTTTAACAAATTAAAGCAACCAATAATAATACCTACATTATATACATATAATAGTTATTTTAGTTTGGTATGAGGATACGGAGTCTAAGATTGGCACTATGGCTAATATTTTTAAATAACTAAATGAATATGTACCTTGTGAGCTTTACGTTATTACCCTATTACAGTTTTACATCGCCATCTCCGGTTGTTATTGTCGGCACAGATTAAAAAATATGAAGGGGTCAAGTGCCAACAATGATAACAACACTACAGTGGCGGTAAACATAAGTAGATATATGAAAGCGATGCTAAATCTTTATATTAAATGAATGAATCCCTAAGTTTTAAGTTATAGAAAGCCTCGTGCATCAAATAAAATTTGAAATTAGCATTAAAATTCACTAAAATATGAATCTTGCACTAAGCGTTTTCCAAAATTAGGATGTCACTCAACTACTGAACTACACATATACTAATAATTATTTCTATTTTTAAAAAAACACAGAGGAGCGTACTGTTCATTTCAGGAAAGATTTAAAAAAAAAATGGTCATATGAATAAAAAAAAGGAAATTATAATCCCTCTCTATATAATAATAATAATAATAATTATTATTATTACGCATACACGTAACTATATAGTTTGTCTAGTTTATATTATATTATTTTAAAATGTTAACAAATTTATATATGTCAATGAGTTCATACATTTATCTTCCTGCTACTTGAATGGTATTGGATTCTTAAAAACTAGTGGAAGGGGAACCTACCTCCACTATTGTCAATAGGAAAATACCTTCTTCTTTTTTCTAATTTTCTCCCGAATGTCAATGAACCACTCGAATTCAAGAACAAAAAATAAAGCATTTATCAAATATGCCCGTGGGGGATGAGATAACAAAGAGAAGAAAGTTTCTAACAAATGAAATATTCTTGTCTCGATAGTATACCAGAGTCGAAAGAACAATGTTAATTAATGTATGGCTATTGATGCTTGACTATTCAGCCAACAAAACTATTATATTTTTTTTTCAAGTTCAAAGGTCTTTTGCTATTAGAGAAGACGTAACACTAGCTACCGTCTAGCCATAGGTGGTTTATTTTCTTCTCAAATTGACATTTTTACAAGAATACATAAAAAATCCATGAATATTGACCCAATATTAAAATGAATACTAACTAAAAACATGTAATAGCGGTATTAATTAAGTATATGCATTGATACATGTTAAGTAATAATTAGTAATAGTAAATAGCATGAATAAAAATGATGAGTGTATTATGTTATGTATGGGGTGATAAGGGTGATCGTATGAAGGGCACGTAATCATTGGAGGGGTTGGAGCTGCAATTGGAAGAAATGAAGAATACACGTGGACGCGTGAATTTGTCACTTTCACCTACTCCCGAATAGCGAATCGAGCCAACCTCGATATTCTTTGAATTTTGATTGCATATTTAAAATATTAATGGTTTTTTTTTTTTTTTCTGTGAGATATGTTGATTGCATGAGGAGAGAGAAAGGGATTATTATGATTTATGCGTTAAGTGGGGGTTTAAGGGGGGAGAGGGTTACAAGTTACAGGTCCACCAACTGGTGGTTAGGGTTTGAACCCTTCCAAGCAAACAACCACCTCTCACACACACGATTTTCATGAGGCGTTTCCCACACGTGAGAAACTGGACAATGATTGACGCTGAAATTTGCTAATTATTTATTCCTTTTTACCAATATCAATTTTATTTTTTAAAAAAATATATAAAAAGTAGTTGGTGCTGGCAAGTAAACAAGTTCTCCCATTTAATTATTTTAAATTTAATAATAATATTTTGTCATTGGTTGGTGCCGTTGTTCCAATGATAAGGAGTTGGGTCTTTCATCTTTGTTTGAAATATATCTCTTGGGATTGGCATTTGTCTGGGCTTTAGCTCAAACTCAATTTTTGGATCATTGTCTATCACTTCTGCTCCAAACCCCTCTTTTCGATTTTTAGTCCCATGCTAGTGCCTTTATCTCTCACTTCAGGTATTTTTCTTTTCTTATTTTGTGATACAGGTTTACAACACAGTCGAAATTTTCTCTCTATTTTTTTCAAAAGAGGTTTGTAATGATGATGATGGTATGGTGGTGATGATGCAGTGTTGTTTCTGGTGTTAGGTGATACTTCTGATGGTCATAGAAAGTAGAAAATTAGAATGTGAAGGTTACTGTGACTGACTGGGAGATAAAAGTTTCTAATTTGAGAAGTGGGAACCAATGAGTGAGGTACTCTACGCGGGTTGGATTTTTCATCGTGATAGTTTTTTTTTTTTGGGTTCTCCACTGATTAGTGCTTCCTTGTTTGAACCCTTTTTGTTTTGAATTTTCACCAACAAAACCGTGTTTTGTGAGGTTGAAAATGGGTGGAAACTCTGAATTCTGCTCAAAGGGAATTGTGGGGTTCATGTTTCAGGTTTGCTTGGTTTTCATGGGTTTAGCCTTGTTTGTGAAATTCACCTCACTTCTGTTCCTTCCATTTTGTCCGAGCCACAACCAGCAGGCATACACCACCCCTGGCAGTAGTTAAATCCCTTTTCAATCTAAACTTGTAATGAAACTTGAAAGGATTTGTTTTTCTGCTTCTTACATCCAAAATGAGAATTTGCTTACCTTTTAACAACTGCGTGCCACATAACAGAAATCCATTTTTCATTTTATCAAAAACCCCATAACCCCTTTTCCTTTTTTTTAGTATCCAATTTCAAACCTGGATTATATAAATGAAGCCCAGGCCCAAGGGCACAATGGGAGAGGGTTTGATCCGATCATGTGGGAAATAAGTTATAACGATACTATATCACCTTGCATTTGTTTGGAGGAATGTTAGACCCGAAATGTTTGGGGTGTTTTGGGAAATTTCTTGGTGGTTTAGTGAGTTTGGATTTGAACCGAGACCAGAAATCAATTTTGTTCATGTACTGGGATAAAAATCCCCAAAACCAAAGCAGTCAAATGTAATAAAATAATGTAACGGTGGTGTTAAGTTTGGCCAACATTATTTTTATGGTTGGACTTGGAATTGCTTTGCCTGTATTATATACTATTCATATTTTGAGCCTCCGACAATGGCACATATTTTGAATTTGATTATGCTATGTATATATTGATTGAAGTCGCTTTGATTATCTTTCTGTTATAAGTAATTTTGACTTTTCAATTCAACGAGCTTTTGATGATTGAGCATCATTCTTACCTCATCCACCTAACCAAACAGAATAGCAGAGGAAATGTTATATCAATGCTAATTGTTTCCCAAACGTAAGTAGCAAAAGCGAAGTCAGCTGAATCCATTCTGAAGAGACCAGAAACCGGATTACAATGTATCCCAACCAAGCCTTTTCTTCAGGGTCCTATGCGGACATGATGTCCGGGAGTTCTTTGTTAGCTCATAACTACAATGAATCTGTAGGAGGGCAAAATGGGGTGAAGTTTATCACGGCTATGGGGGACACAGTGACCATGCAGTCTATTGATGGGCATTCCAATGCTGCAACTGGTGATCCAGCATGCAACTCTTTTGCTGGAGATTCCCCAGTTGTTCCAAGGACACAAATGGGCATTGTAGATAGAGAGCAAAACATGCAGTGCCAGGGCCTATCTCTTAGTCTTGGAACGCTCATGCCTTCTACTGCATCTGTCCCTTCATTTCAGTATCAATATCCTGACACTGGTCTTTTACCACTAATGACTGATTGTCTCCCAAACTTAAAGGGAACTATGTCTCTCAAAGATGATGAGGCCAACCTACATAAGGAGTTGAGAAGTGCTGCTGAATGCATGGCATCTGTATCTTCTGGGGGCTTTCATGACATTACCAAAAGGGAGGGTTTTTACAACCCTCACCCCTCAATGTGTCTCAAAGAAGTCCACTCTGATCCATGCTTGCAAGGATCACCAGGTTTTTCCAACAGCGTCCTAAACTCCCAATACCTTAAAGCGGCACAGGAGTTGCTTGATGAAATAGTTAATGTCCGGAAGGCTTTGAAGCAACCTGGAATGGAAAAACAAGAAAACTGCCGTGACATTGGAAAAGATAGCTCTAAAGATTCAGATGGAAAATCTGCAAATGGTTCTACTGCCAATCCTTCTTGTGAGCTATCTCCCGGAGAACGGCAGAACTTGTTGGACAAGAAAACAAAGCTTCTGTCGATGTTGGATGAGGTAAATTTGTATTTTCCATATCATTAGATTAGATTGCATGGTTTATTTTTATTCCATTGACATAATTTGTTTAGTAATACGTTTCCCAGTTTCCTTGTACAAGATGTTTTTGTTCTATGGTAGATTTTAATGCATCAGTTGAATAACATAAAAGATTATACTGTATAAAACAATTTTTTTTATACAATAACTTTTTTACCCCAACTGTTCCTCTTTTATACGACCCTCTTTTTTTGTTCAAGTTCTCTTCTATATAGGAGTGTACGCGGGTTTTTTTTTTTTTTTTTTTGGCTATTTAAACCTCTGTGCTTTTACACTGTTTGAAAGAGCTCTGCTGTACCTATGATACTGTCGCGTTTTGCAGAGATTCCAATTGCCCAAATCAATAACAGCAGTAAATTGATTTCAAAAGGTTAGCTGTCACGTCTCACGTCAGAGTGAGCAAGTGCACCACTAGTAAAGCCATTTATTATACGATTGATATTCATTACTTTTTCAAGATTTTCTATTTCAAATAATGTGAAAGAAGAGTAGTTTCAAGGATATACTATTGCTCTACAGTTATAGCTATAATTGTCAGTTTATTTGTTGCTGTAGTGTTTGAAAGGTATGCTTAAATATTGAAAAGACAGTTAGTTATGATAATGAATTAATGATAATGTTAGCTAATATCTAACTCCGATCATTGTTTGTGCTGGTTATAGGTAGATAAAAGATACAGACAATACTGCCATCAGATGCAGATTGTGGTGTCATCTTTCGATATGGTGGCTGGGTGTGGAGCAGCAGAACCATATACTACACTTGCTTTGAGAACAATTTCTCGCCACTTTCGCTGTTTGCGTGATGCTATTAGTGGCCAAATTCAAGTGACACAAAGGAGCCTTGGGGAGCAAGAGGGAATACCCCGTCTCCGCTATGTGGATCAGCAACTTAGACAACAAAAGGCCCTTCAGCAACTTGGTGTAATGCGACAAGCTTGGAGGCCCCAGAGGGGTCTTCCTGAAAGTTCTGTTTCAATTCTTCGGGCTTGGCTCTTTGAACATTTTCTTCATCCGTATGTCACACGTCACCCTTACCCTCTACTTGTTTTTTTGCAGTTAATGGCATTATACACTAATTTATATATGTTTGTTGTACTAAAAATTCTTCACCTTTCATTTTATCATAATTGATACCAGTTACCCCAAAGATTCAGAGAAAATTATGCTAGCAAGGCAAACAGGCTTGACCAGGAACCAGGTACAAAATTAGTTTTTGTTTTTTTATCTCAACTGTACACTGTTTTCATTGGTGAGCGGGATGGGATGATCGAGCGTTAACTAAATAAATGTTGATATCAGGTCGCAAATTGGTTCATCAATGCACGGGTGCGACTTTGGAAGCCTATGGTTGAGGAAATGTACAAAGAAGAGTTTGGAGATTCTGAAATGAACTGCAACCTTTCATCTGAAAACAATGGCAAAGGTAAAAGAGATGAAGTTCAAGAGTCTGATAATAATAAATGGGAAGAGTCACAAGACAATTTAGTAACTGTTGATGGTATCCAACTCCAACCCCATGGATTGAAGTCTGAACATGCCTCTTCCACTACAGAACTGGAGAGAGGGGTACATGTAGAAAATGGGGTGATGGATTCTGGAACAAGGAAATTGCAGGGTAATCAAAACCAAAGGCTTGGGATGAACCACAGCAGTAGCAACCTTTATGTGGCAACCAACCAGAATGGTGATGGCAGCTTAATGGGTTCTTCCACTGCTGCTGCTGCCACATATGATTTATCAGAGTTGGGTAACTTTACAGTGGGTGGCCACGTTTCACTTGCATTGGAGTTGAGGAACTGTGAAAGCGATGGATTTGCCATGTCCGATGATGCCATCCACAAAAGACGTAATCAAACATTGGCTTCTTCCCCGGATGCTGATTTGCTAGATTATCATTTCACGGATTCAGGAAAGCAACAGCACAGGTTTGGCAATCCTCATCTGTTGCATGAGTTTGTCGTATGAAATCTAGCAAAAATATTTGATGATTTTAAGGGATCTCTGGAAAGGTGTACCATCACAAAGCTGAAAGAGAAAGCCTATGCTGCTGCTCTTTTTTCTTCATTCTTGTTGCCCATTGTTCGTAAAAGTGATGTAAATCACCAACCGTACAAAATATACAGGTAGACGTGTAGATATTCGCTTGTAATATTACAGATGATTGGTTGTATGTGCAGGCAATTTTTGTAAGCATAAAAAGAACACGTCTCGTGCATTATGTTGAATAAGGAATCTTGTAAAAAATTAAAAAAAAACTGTAACAAGTACGATGTGAATGTATTGATTCTTGTTAGTAAATTCACGGCATGTCGTGTGGTCCATATGCACACCTTAGTCTGTGTCATTGATGAATGACGATGATGCTTCATAGCTTGCACGGAGGCAAAGGTGCAGTACAAACGCAATTCTACCTCCTCACTCAATATTAAATTATGCCTCAAAACAACTAATATTAAAACGGACTCAAATTGAGGTTTTATCGAACCAATCAATCATAGAAGAAATGTTCATGTTTTCAACTAATGTTTTCAAGTGGCCCCAAACTTTAATTTTAAACATGGTTGTAATAAGGGAGAGGAGGGGGGTTGATGTAGGTATGCGGCATTCACAGAAGGAGAAAGGGACAAGTGGAGGAGTCCAAAGGAACAATGAACGCAATGATTACTAAAGCATCCAAACGGACCAATGCGTTCCCCAAAATCAGCAGAACATCCCCTTCTCTCTCTCTCTTGGGAGCAACACAGTTTAATTTTAATTATAGTAATTAATTAATATTCAGAAATTGTGATAATCAGTGTCCTTTCAACATCCCTATGCATGCCCACAATACCTAACGGGAAAAAAGTTAGAAATTATTTATAAGGGCTCACAAACTGACAATCCTAGAACTGGGAGTGTGCAAAAGATAGCCCACTTTTCTCCTCCTTTTGCAGATCACAACAACACAATGAACAGAACAGTTTAACCTATGGAGGGCCGGCTCCCCCTCCTGTGGTGAGAGGGGAAAGAGATTTACACTGTTTCGAGCTGCTTTTGAGTCTCCCAAAAAAATATAGCTGCAGGGACTAAAGCTGGAAGATTGATGCTTTTGCTTGTTGTTTTATAGTCAGCAAAGTTGGGGACCATTTTATTTTATTGTCATTTTCTATGTTTTCTAACATAGCTAATTAACTTGGCTTCTTTAAGAAAGGCCAGAACTGTGTCATAGACTCATAGGTCTGAGGGTAGATCATAGATGTAGATCTGCTGGGAAAGTAATACAGGGTAAATTATTGTGATTTTCACTGAATTATTATTATCTAAGGCATATTTGCATCATTGTTGAAACTTGTAACGCAGAAAACTGCTAGGAGTTAGGGGCCTCAGGCCCGCTTGCAAATTGCAATGCAAGCTGCCTTGAATTTGTACCCTTAACTTTTGTGGATAAAATATTAATGCTAAATTTTCAAATATTTAAAATTATTTTACCGTGGCATTTTATTTTATCCTTTTACAAAAAAAGTTACTTGCAACCTAAGGAATTTCCATGTGTCACTAGGTGTTGGAGCGAGCTTGCTTTTTTTTTCTCATTCAAGAAAAATTGAGTTCATTTTGTATTGTAGCAACAACATTTAAAAAAAAAAACAGTCTTAAAATAATCATTCCCCTTGAGTCTTGCGCTCAAGGAACTTTCTCTGCATCTTCACTGTGGCAATAAGTAGTTCGAGTTAGTAGGTAAATAAAACATTTGTACAACCAACGTTTATCTTAATTTTTAACCCAAAGCTTTATTATGGTCTTCCCAAGTCGGTTCTCATAACACCTCTAGCTTGTGTTTGAGTCTTGGCACTAACAACATCTTGAGTGATTTTGGCATGTCAGCCCCAAATTTGGTTTGAGTTCTATCATTTTCTTAGCTGCCTTTGCCCCAAGATTTTATTTAAGTTTACACTGTACAGACTTCAACTTTGAAACTTCGGAGTTGATTGTGACCACTGATTATCCTCGCCAATGAATCCACTGCTGAACATCCATGGGCTTCGTGCAAACATAGTACGGATTCTCCCCTTCTGTATATTATTAAGTCCTATCTTCAGATAGCTTTTTGCTCAAATAGTTACTTCAGTACGTAAAAACAGTGTCGATTTTCCCTTCAACTCCCCTTTTCTCATTTTATCCTTTTTAGAAATCAGAATGAAATGAGGTTCACATTTTCTCTCTTTCACCGTAGTGGAGACTTTCAATCACAACCACCCACAATAGCTTTTAGTTTCATTCATTAGTTTAGGAGGTTCATAGTCTTAGTTTAAGTATCTCACAAACTCTACCATTATGTCCAACTCCATTACTCATCAAAACCATTTTGAGAACCAAGAGCTTGATGCTTATGGCTCTTCCATGAGGAACAACAATGCATTCCCTGAGTCAATAGGAGCATTTCCCAGCATTCAATCTATTGGAGAGAGAATATCAAGATCAGTGGACCTTGTGCAAGGATTAGCTGAGGGCTCTGAGATCAGCCACACAAGGCACTTGATGGATCTTCTTGGAGCAGCAAACGAGAGCAATCACCACCAACTTCAAGGCCTTTCCCTTTCTTTAGGCTCTCACATGCTTGTCCCTTCTGATGAATACAGGCACCAAAGAACCTTAAACCCGGGTCTCATGAACCCCAATTACTTCATTCCTGGACAAGAGGCAAGGGAAGCCTGTAATCCTGCAGTGGAGCATCTAACCAGTGACTACTTTTTCACCAGCGGCAGTGGCACTTTTGCTTCATCTTCTGCTCCTTTGAACCGTTCTCCTTCCACTTCTTATGGTGCTGAGTCTTTTACTTCTGTCATTGGCAACTCAAGATACCTCAAACCGGTACAATCCCTTCTTGAAGATCTTGTTGATGTTGGTGGAAACGTGGTTGATAGAATCAATGAAAAGTATGCTGAGAAGTTGTTTCATGGGAGTAGGAGGACACTTTCCTCAGAGTTAAAAGCGGAGTTGAGGAATAATGAACCTTTATTATCTGACAAACATGAACATCAAATCAAAATTGCAAGGTTGATTTCTTTGTTGGATGAGGTTGGTCATTTCTGCCCTTTTTTTTTTCTTTTACTTTCACTGACTTCGATATGTGTTCGGACTTGAAAATTGAAATTTGAAATTGACCTCTTTATTTATTCATTGTGTTCAATTTTTGCAGGTTGAAAGTAGGTGTGAGAAATACTACCATCAAATGGAGGAAGTGGTGGCATCTTTTGAAATGATAGCGGGTCTTGGAGCTGCCAAGTGTTACACTGCTTTGGCACTCCAAGCCATGTCAAGGCATTTCTGCAGCTTGAGAGATGCCATATTGTCACAAATAAATGCTGAGAAAAGGAAACTTTTTCAGGATTTACCTAAAATCAGTAGTGGCTTATCTCAACTAAGCTTGTTTGATAGGGACACTAGACATAGTAGAGTGTCTCTCCAACAACTTGGGGTGATCCAAAGCCAACGCCAGGTGTGGAGACCCATCAGAGGATTGCCTGAAACCTCTGTGGCAATTCTTCGTTCTTGGCTCTTTGAGCACTTTCTCCATCCGTAAGCTACTAAATAATTAGCTTCTTGTTTTCTTCATCTTAAGTTATTAATAATGTTACCTACCTTTTAAAGATGCCAATTTGATATCTGATTCCCGCAGTTATCCTAATGATTCTGAAAAGTTAATGCTGGCATCTCAGACAGGTTTAACTAAAAACCAAGTAAATCCTTATCCAAAGCACAATCACCCTTTTTCTATTTTTAATTTGCTATGATGCTTATGTAGGTGTCTTTATTGTTGCTTCAGGTCTCAAATTGGTTCATAAATGCTCGGGTACGGCTATGGAAACCAATGATAGAAGAAATGTATAAAGAAGAGTTTGGAGACTCTTCTGAAGACTCCAACACTGCTGCTAACTACATGACAAGGGAAGATACCACAGACTGTGTGGAGGATTGAATTAAAGCTACCGTGAAAAAAAGAAAAAGAAAAAAGTGCTTGATAAAAATGGGCCAATATATGGATTATGCCCTTTTCTCCAAAATCAGGAGAGAAACCTTATGTAACATGACAAGGTGATGAGCCAATATGTCTTCAGGTGAAATCCTAAGTTTTTGAAAAACATGACTAATGATGTTCTTTGGATAGTAACCAGTTGATAGGAAATGGCGATGGATGAGAAGATCGCTTCATCACAATTTGACATTATGTTTCATAACCTAACACTCGTGTGTGAGCATGTCATTTTTTGTCTTGTAATAAATGTGATGCCCAATTTCATAAGTTTTGTTCTCGTTTGTCTTAAAAACAGATTAATGAAAATAAAGAGGTAAGTCATATTCTACATTGATAAGTTCATGCCTTCGTGGGTCCATTTTTTGTCTAACAAAATTCTTAGACCGATAATGAAAACGATGCAAATGCCATCTACTCTATTGTCGCTTTTAACTAACAAGTTGGGGATGAATAGGCGTTTATATCAAATCATAGACTGATAAACATTACTTAAGTACCTATTTTTTATGGGTGCCATAGTTGTTTTTACAAAGCATTTTGGAAGAAAATAAAATAACGCACATGTTAGCAGCACATTCTTTATATATTTTTCTGAATAAAAAGGTATAAAATATGCACGGAGAAAATTATACAATTTATGTTTTCCGTTTATTGGAAATCTGACAATCACAATTTGGATCATTCTAACGAAAGTAATTCATGAATAAATGAAATAACCATGCAAATAAAAAAAACAAAAGAAATAAAATATGACCAATCCAACAATTACCTTAATTAGTCTCATTTTGCATCGATAATTGTGATTTTGATTCGGTTTTAAATTGGTTGGGCCATATTCTTTAAATTTTGGCCCACTTGATGTGGTTTGAATTGGATTCAGGTGCTTTCCTGGCCCGTACATTTCTTTGCCCAATCATGTTGAGAAGAAATTAGCTTATCAGTTTAATTATGAAAATAAATATCGATATAGAAATTGTGAAAATGAAATAATTATGGTCTGGGACTGAGAACAGATGAGATGAGATGCTAAACCAGGTCGTGACCAATTTGCAAAGATTGAGTGGAAACCCTAGAAACAGATAATAGAATGCGAAATTAGAGTTTGAAAAGGTGAGAAGAATGGCGAAGCATTCGGTGGCAATGGCTAAGCAGAGGTGGCCGCTAATGTTGGCGGCATTTTTGTCTATCTCAACAGTGACGGTGCTGTTCATGAGAGCCAACAATTCCGATTCCTGCAACACTAAGCATTTCGTTGGAGCGCAACAGAACCAGATTCGCTCCTCCGTCCAAGTCGGAAATGCAGCTTCCAGTCCCCTAGATTTCATGAAGTCGAAGCTAGTTCTCATGGTTTCGCACGAGCTATCTCTGTCAGGTTCTTTACATACCGAGTCAAATCCCCTTTTTAATTCGTTTGATGAGAAAAGTAAATATGGATTGGGTTCACTTGCAGGTGGGCCTTTGCTGCTGATGGAGTTGGCGTTTCTGTTGAGGGGCGTTGGTTGCGAAGTTGTTTGGATCACAAATCAGAAACCTGCGGAACCTGATGAGGTCATTTACTGTTTGGAAAGTAAGATGTTGGACCGAGGAGTCCAGGTGATTTTAAAAAAAAAATTATTTGGGTGGTTTATCATATGCCTCAGGTTTATTTGTTCAGTCTCTAAGATACGAAAACATGTTTATTGAGTCATTTAGTTCCAACATTAGTATTGAGGGAGCTAGAGTGAATGTTCGATTGAAAATAAGTTTACTAGGTGTGACTTTTCTGCCCTCCCCCAACTGCTTGTTCAAGCCATTCTTTAATTGATAATATTCCTATTTGTCTATCCTTATTTTATTTATGCCAATTTAGGAAGTTGAAATTGAAAGTCCTTTGTGGTGAGTGTCAAACTAATGCTATTTGATTTTTTTCTTTCTTTCATTGTGTTTGCAATTGTAAAATAGTGTGCATCATTGACTTGCAAATAGCTAACCACGGAAGTAGGTTTAAATATATTTTTAGTACCTGAAATTTACCTTGATTTTGGTTTTGGGCCCTATATTGTAAGAGTTTGGATTTCGGTTTCCATAGTATTCTCTTTAGATTTTGGTCCCTATAATTCACTAAATAGTTAACTTGATAGTTGTCTTTTGAAGGGAACATGGGGTGACATATTACTGGTGGGCTGGACCAAAACGGCAAAACCTAAATGAAATAAAATCACAGAACCAAAATACCCTTAAAATATAGGGACCAAAACCCAAAATAAAGGTAAACTATAGGGACCAAACATGTATTTAGACTGTGAAAGTATATGACTAATTAAACTGCTATTCCTATTAACCTAATAACAGAATTTTGACATTTGACTGCAAGAGATGCTGTAGGATTAATATGCTTTGTAAGCTTGTCAAATATCTTCCCACATTTTCAATTTAATTTTTTCAAATATTTGATATAGAGATGAATTGTTTTTCACTCTTTCTTCTGTTTCTTGATTGAGTTGTATATAGCTCGAATCTGTAGGAAATCGTTAGTCCAACATTTTTTATCGATGTGTTATTGGACTTCTAAGTGGCCTTTTTTCACATGTTTGGCTCCTGCTAGGTTCTGCCTTCCAAAGGTGAAAAGGCTGTAGGTACAGCTCTTAAAGCTGATCTGGTCATTCTAAATACTGCGGTAGCTGGAAAGTGGCTGGATGCCGTTCTCAAAGAAAAAGTTTCTTATGTTCTTCCAAAGGTTTTATGGTGGATTCATGAAATGCGAGGGCATTATTTCAAAGTGGAATATGTTAAGCACCTCCCTTTTGTTGCAGGTGCTATGATTGATTCACATACAACTGCAGAGTACTGGAAGAATAGGACGAGGGAGCGTTTAAGGTATGCTTCCAACATCACTTGATAGATTTTTACTGCTATCCATTCTGTGTGAGTCTGTGACTGTTATAATTTGAGTCATGCTTTGGTCCAACTTTGTAGGATTAAAATGCCTGCAACTTATGTTGTACATCTTGGAAATAGCAAGGAGCTTATGGAAGTTGCAGAAGATAATGTTGCAAAGAGGGTTCTTCGTGAGCATGTACGGGAATCTCTTGGAGTGAGAAATGATGATCTACTTTTTGCCATCATAAATAGTATGATCTCTTCCTTAATGATGGCTGCCAATACTCATTTGATAATCTTTTGTAGTTCATTGCCAATTCAATCCTTCTCTACATTTAGTTTTTATACCCTTTCTATTCATTTGTTTTGACAATTCTTTTACCAGTCTATATTTTGAGCCCCAGGGTGATATGATTGCAGGTGTTTCTCGTGGTAAAGGGCAGGATCTATTTCTTCATTCCTTTTATCAAAGTTTGCAACTCATTCAGGAGAAGAAACTCCAGTTGCCATCTTTGCATGCTGTAATTGTAGGGAGTGATATGAATGCTCAGACAAAGTTTGAAATGGAAATGCGCAAATTTGTTATTGAGAGAAAGATTCAGGACCGTGTTCACTTTGTTAACAAATCCCTGGCTGTGGCTCCTTACCTTGCTTCTATTGATGTTCTTGTTCAGAATTCTCAGGTATATTCTGATAATATATATAACATTCTATTGTCGTGCAAAATGAAAGTTGCTATGTGACTGCAACAGGGAAGCAACATTGTAGTTTATGGGAGCACTCTTGAAATTCTAATAGAAACCCTTGATTTTTTAATATATATATATATTTAATTCCTTTATAATTTATTTTTCATCCACAATCCTATTGATTCAGTTTTACCAGTCTGACTGATATGCCTTTCTGCTCATAGCAAGATTCTTAACTGCACATTGATTTTTTTTTTAACTTCCATAATGTATTAACACGTAATTGAGCTTCTTCATGAATGTGCTTCTCTTCATATCAGGGTCGTGGAGAATGTTTTGGAAGGATAACCATTGAAGCTATGGCATTCCGCCTGCCTGTACTGGTATCTCCATTACTACATGTTATAGTTGCCTTGCCTTTGCCACTAGTTGTGTACTACTATACTAGTTGTTGATCGTCCAGTTTGTTGTATGATACTGTGCTTTGTTTATTCATTTGTGTTTAATCTGTTCAATGTTACTGTATATCTTTTTGTTATTTAATACCTCTCTCCCCAGAAACAAATAAAAAAGAAGGAAAAACAGAAACAAAAGCAAATATTTTATTTTTGTAGCCTTTTATGGCCTTAATGAAGCATCAAGTTGCCTTTTTGAGTGCTAACACCATATAAAAAAAAGCTACATTTCAATTAGTTTTCAAAGTTTGGTTTCCTTCCTATGCATTCCCATTGGCTACATCCTTGTGGGAATTCCAAGTCTTAATTTATTTATTAATCTATCAGTCCATCTGTATCATAGGCACTTGAATTTTCTTTTGTTGATTTTTTTTAAAAGGAAAAAGACGAGGATAAACTGTTCGGCAAATTGAGCTTCATGCTTTGCACTGTTCTTTGAATATGTTAACCTTTGCCTTCTGGCTGTTTCAACTTGGTTACTGACACCTCTGGAAGCTATACGATTGCAAACATGTCTGTGCATGTCTATTTTTGTTTTTTCTTGTAACATTTTTTTCATTAAAAATATTCCCAGGGCACTGCAGCTGGAGGCACGATGGAGATTGTGGTAAATGAAACAACTGGTTTGCTGCATCCTGTTGGAAAAGAAGGCGTGACACCTCTTGCAAATAACATTGTGAAGCTGGCAACTCATGTTGAGAAGAGGCTGACTATGGGAAAGAAAGGGTATGAGACAGTGAAGGAGAGGTTTATGGAGCACCATATGTCACATAGAATTGCATTGGTTCTAAAGGAAGTTTTACGGAAGGCTAGGTAATAGGCATCAAATGTACCCGGTTAGGCATTTCGCCGTTAAATTGTATATTGATTACACAGGAAAAACAGAATGGTTCGGTGAAAATGAATTGTATATTCAATGTCTTCTAATATCATATAGGTTGTTGGACAATTTTCTTTTAAGAGTTTTATTATTAGCTAAAATTCATGTAAAACTTATTAAATTAAGTCGGTATCAAATTTTAACTCGTAATAATGACTTTATTTTATTTAAAATAAAATAAATACGAACTGTACTAAAAAGATTGTGTTATTAATTTATTTTTTATATTTTATGGGAAGTTTGTTGATGTGTGGGTTGTGATACGAATTCCTTCCTTGCATCGGACGCATCTTGTTTAACTTGCTAGGTGCATCCAAAGGAATGGAGTTGCCAAAAATTATAAACCCATTTAGGTGTAGATACAAGGAATGCTTGTAAATGTACACAAGTTTATATTGATAAAACAATTATATTTCTGGTAAGTTTTCTTTTGGCGAAAAACAAGAAAATCAATGATATAGACAAATGTCATCTAGGTTGAATTAGTTTATTTAGTTTAAAAATGAAAAAAAATAAAAGAAAATTAGAAAATGAGATAGAAAAATAGAAAAGAAAAAAAATAGTAGCAGTGAGTTGAATTATAAATGTAATATTATCACAATTGAAAAAAAAAATATGGAAATTTAAAGCTAAACGATAAAAATGTACAGAAACCTGTGTTAACTTAGCTCATCATAGCTTTATTTAGTATAAACTAAGTTGGAGGAGGTTGATCAAATTATCATAGGGTGTAATGAGTTTATTCTATTTGCAAATCAACTCACTTCGTTAGGACGAAAGGGGTCATACATGCCTAACTGTCATTATACTAGGTTTACAGAATGAAATGTATTTTAAAGCATTTGATTTAATAAAATAATATGATTGGATGAAAATGCTTTTTCATCTTTTAGAATTTCATAGATTTTTTATTCATCATTTAGATTTCTATTCCAATTGTTAATTTTAAAATATATAAAAAATAAATGCAAAATAAAGTAAAAAATACACGTTTAGAATATTAAACATGAAATTCCAAGATTAATTTATTATATTTTACGTTATAATGGACATATATTTTCACTTGGGATAACTTAATGGCAATATTAGGAATTAAAATTTAGAGTTAAACATTTAAGTCAAGTTTTACTAAGTCACCATCATAATATAAGTGCTAGTCTCTAAAATAAGATAAATTTAACCCTTTATCACAATAATCTTAAGTGATGAAAATTACACTTAGATATTAAAATGTACATTTTTTTATCAAATTAACCCTAGCATATATATTTATTATTCACTGTGAATTAAATTAATAATAAATATGTTTTTTTTAACTTTACAAATAAATTTATTCTATGAGGTGAATTTTATATTATTTAGATTAGGTATTTCGATTCAAAAATAAAAACAAATAATAAAAAAAGGGATAAGAGATTCAAAATTTGAAAGAAAAAAAAAACAAGGATTGGGTTGGGCTATACATATAAAAGAGTATACAATAATGATGTATTTGACAAATCAAATATCATGGTTTAATAACGAACTTTTCGGATTAATTGATAATATTTGTTGATTATTTGTGAAAGATTCTTGTGAAGTGAAATATTTTATTAACTCCTAAGTCATGTCGAGTAGACCTTATTGTTTCGATAATTCTTAATTCATGAGTTGTAGGGAGGGATTTATGTCACCACAAACAGAGACTAAAGCAAGTGTTGAGTTCAAAGCTGGTGTTAATGATTATAAATTGAATTATTATACTCCTGACTATGAAACCAAAGATAGTGATATCTTGGCAGCATTCTGAGGAACTCCTTATCTTTATATATATATAAGTAGATGAGTTTTGGAAAGAAAGTTGCAATGAGTTTTGGAGGAGAATTTGCCTTCACTTTTTAATACAATAATCTTTATATAAAAATTAATAATTACTATTTAAGGCCATCTTAAATGCTTTAATTCAAATCAATTAAATCCATTTATTTTTAATTAGCAGTTTTGATATATCTTTAACTTTAAGGCCGTCTTGAATGATTTAATTCAAATCAGTTAAATGTATTTATTTCTAATTAGCAGTCTTTATATATTCAAAAGGTGAATCCTTTGTGGCAGATTTGAACCTTAATATTAATGTTTATTTTAAATTTTATTATTAGAAATTAATAACCGATAAAATTACATAAAACTCTTAAACTTTAAATTAAGTTTATTATAAAATTAAAAAAATAAGTAAAAAAAAGACGTAGAAAAAAGCAAAAAGAAAATCAAATATATTGATTTGATTCTCAATGACTTTGAGTGAGTATTATTTTTTAACATATTTTAATGGCTAAAATATTTGTTTAATATTTTTTCTCTTTCATTACTTTATACTAATTAAGATTATATTATATTGAATTTGTTTCGTAAGAATAAGAGAATTGTTTGCACTTTATGGGAGGAGTTTGATGATCAAATAGTTATTTTTTAAAGAATAAAAATTCTAATGCTTTACCTATTATGATTATTCAATTATGTAAAGTGAAAACATTTGGTGGTATGATTCTTTATCTATATTGAACTCTTTTTAATTGTGTGATAATTATTATTATCAACAAATTATATTTCATAGTTGTTTTAGGAACTTTAGGCATATCAAATGCTTACAATGAGACAAAGTTGTATATCAATCTTAACATAAAAGAGGCTATTGATTATAAGAATAAGTAAATATTTTAATTATTTTTTATTTATAGAGACATCATTATGTTTTGCATGATGTTTCCTATTTTTGTTAACTTATAAGCTATCTAATTTGTGGCATAAGATGAATATGAATGATGCATGTATAAGTCAAATATTAAGTCCGATTGGTACTCTTATGTTTTAATAGAAGATGATTTGCTCCAAACTTAAAGCATGACCATATATACATGAAATAATTGAGACAAATTATGTATGTTTTGTATTGAAATAATGAAGTGAGATACATATAATTAGCAGTTAAATACAATTTTAAATTTTAATATAAATGATTTACTTTAAATTTTATTATTGAAAACTGATAATTTGTATATGATTAATGAGGAATAATAGAATAAATAAATAAGAATTGATGAGTGTATATGTATATATATATACACTAAGGATCATTTATGTTACATTTGAATCTGTTATAAATAACCAAATGAGAGTTATATAGACAAACATAAAATATTTAATAAAGATAAAAAATTATATTTTATTTAATGTATATATATATTAACATATTTGTACTTTCTTTTTAACCTCAATATTATCATATAGGATCATTCATGAAAAATAATAAAATGAATAAATTATAATTAATTAATTTATATATTTAAAAGGTCATACAACAATGGAATAATAAGAATTAATATTAATTTAGTATTTATAATTTAAATATTATATAAAAAAAGTACAAAAACTGTTAAAAAGTTGATATACAAAGAAATCTTTCAAAATATAAATTAGATTTATTATAAAAATTATAACTTTCTTTTTTAATCAATGTCAATAGAAAAAAAAATACTTTATAAAGTTCTATATTATATTTCTTTTTTTCAAATAACTAATATTTTTATTAATAATAATATTAACATATACTAATTAATTTTAAATTTTCAAATAGTTTAAATATTATTATATAGTTTTTTTATCATAATATTTGTCTATATTTTATATGTGACTCAGAAATTTTATATTATATCAATATGTGTAATTTTAATTAATATAAAGATTTATTTTTATTTTCAATAAAATTATTCTTCTCTTTTACTTTCTATTTAAATCTTAATTCAAAATTTTAAAATATATAAAGTATATAAAATTTACATATAAAAATTTATTTATCTAATTTTTCAATCTATTTATATTTGATATTATTCAATATAATATAATTTTATTATTTTATATTTAAATTGTAATTTTATAATATTAATATATACTAATTACAATATAAACAAATTTCTGTGACATATAAATATATTTACTAATCTATAATTAAATTTTTTATAATAATATTTATAATATTTAAAGTCACATATAAATTATTTTTAACTATTATATTTATTTTTTATAGATTATTTATTTTTAAAATAATCAAAATTTCATTTAATATTTTTTATCTTTCTGTTATATTAAAAATAATTAATTTAATATTTAAAGTATAATTATTTTAAAATTAAATTATATATATATTTAATTAATAAATATACGATTCAATAATAAAAGATAAAATTATGATACTTGATACATAACAATAGTTTCAGAAACTCAAAATAGGTTTATTTAATAAAAAAATTATTTATTTTTATCTTTAAATTATATGCTGTATAATTTAATAAGATAAAATAAGATATATAATTTTATTCCTTCAATAATTTTTGCATTAAAATATTTTAAATATATTAAAATTTATTTTTTTTATTAAGAATCCTTATGTTGTGATATGTATATATATATGTTAAATTATTACAAATTAATTATAAGAGTATTTTTAAACTTTCTAAAATTAAATTTATAATTTATAAATTTAAATTATATTTGAGTTTAAACCTTTTACTTTTAAAGTTAATTTATAAATATTTAAAATTATATTATAAATCTTTGTATAACATATGAAATCATTGTATTGGTAATAATATTAAGATATACTAATTAATTTTAAAATTTAAAAATATTTTTAAATTTTATAGAATTAAATCTATAATCTTATAAATTCAAATTTTATTTGAGTTTAATCCTTTTACTTTTAAAATTAATTTAAAAATATTTAAAGGTATATTCTAAATCTTTATATAATATATGAAATCATTTTATTAGTAATAATATTAATATATACTAATTAATTTTAAGTTTTAAAATAAATTGAATATTATCATAAATATTTTATAGATTTATTTTTTATTTTATAATTATTAATTATAATATTATATTATAACATAATAATTTATCCGTGCATTGCACGGGTCACCTATAAATCTTAATTGAAAATTTAAAATATATAAAGTATCTAAAATTTACATATAAAAATTTATTTATTTTATTTTTTAATGTATTTATATTTTATATTATTTAATATAATATTATTTTATTATTATATTTTTTATTATTTAAATTATAATTTTATAATATTAATATATACTAATTATAATATAAACAAATTTGTGTGACATATAAATATATTATTAATTTATAATTAAATTTTTATAATAATATTTATAATATTTAAAGTCACATATAAATTATTTGTAATTGTTATATTTATTTTTTATAGATAATTTATTTTAAAAATAATTAAAATATTCATTTAATATTTTTTATCTCTCTCTTATATTAAAAATAATTAATTTATTATTTAAATTATAATTATTTTAAAACTAAATTATATATATATATATATTTAATTAATAAATATATGATTCAAGAACAAGAGATTAAATTATGGTACTTAATACATAACAATAGTTTCAGAAATATAAAATAGATTTATTTAATAAAAAAATTAGTTATTTTTATCTTTAAATTATGTGTTATATAATTTTATAAGATAAAATAAGATATATAATTTTATTCTTTCAATAATTTTTGCCTTAAAATATTTTAAATATATTAAATTTTTTTATTAAGAAGCCTTATGTTATAGTATATATATATATACATGTTAAATTATTACAAATTAATTATAAAAGTATTTTTAAACTTTATAGAATTAAATTTATAATTTATAAATTTAAATTATATTTGAGTTTAAACCTTTTACTTTTAAAGTTAATTTATAAATATTTAAAAGTATATTATAAATCTTTATATAACATATAAAATATTTTATTAGTAATAATATTAATATATATTAATTAATATTAAAATTTAAAATAATTTAAATATTATTATAAATATTTTATATAATTATTTTTTATTTTATAATTATTAATTATAATATTATACTATACAATAATAATTTATACGTGCATTGCATAGGTTACCTTCTTAGTACATATAAAATTGATTATGGCTATGATCAAACTGATTTTTAAAATACCCAGTTTAGCACCTCTTTATCGTCTTTTATTTTACGTCAAAAATAAGACTTGGGGCTAAGACAAATCGGTAATTCAAAGTTAAATAGATAGGGTTAGTGGTAAAAATGCGACACATAACAGGCTTTTTTATTTAAATAATACATTTTTAAAAACAAATTCTTAAAATAAGGTTTATGCTAAACTATTTCTGTGTCTGGAGCTTTTTTTGCCAAGTTAGCAGTAGTATCGCAACGATAGCAAATTTTTATTATTATTTTAATAGAGTATCGTTTCAAAATTACTGATACTATGCTAGCCACAAACACTTGTCAACACTGCACGAGTATCGGACAAAGTGAAACGATAACATATTTTTATAATTATTTTAATATATTATCGTCGTCTAGCATTCGAAACTCATATTTTTTTAATCAATTTTAATACTATCGTTGCAGATTAACCGATACTCAATATTTCAAAAGCAACAAAAAATGACTTATAATCAATTTTAGAGAGCGGTTCAATTTTAACCGCTCTCATAAGTCATATTTAGAGAGCGGTTCAAATTGAACCGCTCTCTAAAATTGAGTTATAAGTCATTTTTCGTTACTTTTGAAATATTGAGTATCGGTTAATCTGCAACGATAGTATTAAAATTGATTAAAAAAATATGAGTTTCGAATGCTGGACGACGATAATATATTAAAATAATTATAAAAATATGTTATCGTTTCACTTTGTCCGGTACTCGTGCAGTGTTGACAAGTGTCTGTGTCTAGTATAGTATTGGTAATTTTGGAATGATACTCTATTAAAATAATAATAAAAATTTACTATCGTCTATACATGTGCGATACTACTGCCAACCTGATAAAAAAAAGTCCCAGACACAAAAATAGTTTATCATAAACCTTATTTTAAGAATTTATTTTAAAAAATGTATTATTTAAATAAAAAAGCCCACATAACATGACACATAAGTTTTGTGCTTCGAATATCGATAGTCTTCGAGGATTGCTTGAGCGTGCCAGTTTGTGTAACCACGATGACGGACGCAGAAGATGCCGTACGACGCCGTAATGCGGTGGCAGATTATCGAAAGAAACTTCTTCAGCACAAGGAATTGGAATCCAGAGTGCGATCCGGTTCGTCTCTCCATTTCTCCATCTATTTCATTTTTACTTGTTCTGCAAAGGCTCATAGTTTTAGGGTTTTGTAATCATTGATTATTACACTGCTTCATTAGGTTTTATATTTTTGGGAGAGATGAAATTATTTTTCTTTATTTTACATCTGTTTCTGGAAATTAGGGCAATGTTATGAACTGGATCTATAGTTAAAATCAACTGCGATCATTTCGTTCGATTTAATAAGTTAATTCCTGGTTGAGCAATGAAAACTCGATTAAGTTCTTGGTCAGAGACGACAGGGGCGTAACTGTTGATGACTAAACCACAATCTGTTTTAGCCCCATACCATTCTAAAAAAAAAAATCCTTTTATCTTATGATTTTAAGATGAGTTTCATTCAAATTATTCTTTATTATGGCACAACAACTTCCTTTCGTGGTCAATTTATGGACTTGAATCTTCATAGACGAGCTCGGTGACTATGGGTTTGAATGTCATATTGCAGTCAGGGAGAATTTGCGAGCTTCAAAGAAAGAGTTCAATAAAACTGAAGATGATTTGAAGTCTCTTCAAAGTGTTGGGCAGATCATTGGCGAAGTTCTAAGGCCTCTTGACAATGAACGCTGTAATTTGTGTCCTTCTATTTTCATACTTGAATGATATCCCATCTGTTTCCTGATCGATACTAACTTAAGAGTAAATCAATGGTTACATAATTTGTTTATTATTGTTTTCTCAGTGATAGTTAAAGCAAGCAGCGGTCCCAGATATGTGGTTGGCTGCCGTAGTAAAGTGGATAAGGAAAAATTAACTTCTGGGACAAGAGTGGTTCTTGACATGACAACACTCACCATAATGCGTGCTCTTCCTCGAGAAGTAATTCATTGCAGTTTATTCTTCCTAATATTTCATTTTATGAATGTGTTGTTATAGGCTATCTACTTTGTTTTTTCATTTCTGCAAATCATCAGACTTTTTTCTATCCCTTCTGGTCACTATTGTCTCTGTCGTTTGAGTTGCCAGGTTGATCCAGTGGTTTACAATATGCTGCATGAAGATCCCGGTAATGTCAGTTACTCAGCTGTTGGTGGGTTATCTGATCAGATCAGGGAATTGAGGGAATCAATTGAACTCCCTCTGATGAATCCTGAGCTCTTTCTTCGGGTTGGAATTAAACCTCCAAAGGTGATTAACTGCTTGCTTCACTTGTGCACTTTCTAGTCCCCAACCTCTTAGTGTAAATCCACGTTTTAAAAGCTCTTGTCATCTGAATTTCTACATTTTTTTGGGTGAAAATGTGTTTTTTAATAGCCTCGCTTTTAAATTTTACATTTGATCAGCATCCTTTCAATTCTCATCTTTCAGGGTGTTCTCCTTTATGGGCCTCCTGGTACTGGTAAAACATTGTTGGCCAGGGCAATTGCCAGTAATATAGATGCTAACTTCCTAAAGGTCAGATTATCTTTCTTTTATCACTTTTGTGTTGTGTAGTTTTCCTTGTTAAATATATTTTTATCTTGCCTTAAACTATGATGTAGGTTGTTTCAAGTGCTATTATTGATAAGTACATTGGAGAAAGTGCCAGGTTAATAAGAGAGATGTTTGGTTATGCACGTGATCACCAGGTGAGATACTTGTGTTAAGTTGTCTTCATATAGGTTTATATATGCTTATTGAAAGTAATTCTAATTCTATACTTTGTGATTAGCCCTGCATCATTTTTATGGATGAAATCGATGCCATTGGTGGTCGTCGTTTCAGTGAGGGAACAAGTGCAGATCGTGAAATTCAGAGAACACTAATGGAGCTGCTTAATCAACTTGATGGATTTGATCAACTTGGGAAGGTATATTTTATTCCATAATTTGATTTATCTTTGAGTTAAAAAAAGCTATAACCGGACGTTATTTTACAAAATTGATCCCTTATTGCAAACTCCCAAGGATAAGGAACATTCTGCTTTTGTCTTTGTTTATTTATTTATTACTATTATTATTACTATGTGAAGGTAGTGGGTGGTAAATCTGTGATATTCCTGTAATAATTCCAATTCATTTATCTTATTATTTTTCCCTTGTCAAACTGTGTTATGCTGGTAAAAATGAAAATATCCAGTATGATATGATGCACAAGTAATCAAATAGATTTATTTTTAAAAAATTATGAGATGGATACAGCTATATATATATCAAATAAAACATTTATATTCATTCAGTAGGAAGGTAAAATTAACCGGTGTCCATTATAACCCATGCCCCATCTCTTCCCCTTCTCCCCTGCTTTTTTGGTGTGTGCGGAAGTTTGATGCAAATGGTTTTGCAAAAATGAGATTGCAAGAGTGATAATATGCTTTGAGGGAGTAAATTGGTGAGGACAAGCCTGTAAACTACTTTTCATATGCCTAACTCTTTCAGATGGTTACTTTACTTAATTGAATCGGTTCTAATGTCTTGAATTTCAAAAGATGCAATTGTCAATTGTCTCATGAATCAGAATATTTACAAATGAAATCTGCACTGATCATTTATTAAACAATTGAACGAACCGTTATTCATGGCCTTTACTTTTTGGTGACATTGTAGTTGTAAATTGAAAACCAATTTTGTACATTCTTTTTAAGATATGGAGTATTTTATTTGACAGTTCATTCTTTTATGTGATATAATTCAAATGGAAATAATGTAAAAGCATTGGACCTTTCCTCATTTATGTATTCTTATGGATATGGTAATTATTTTTTCTACAAATGACTGTTAAGCAAAACTCTAATGGTGGATTTTTTATGACTTTGCTGCCTACATTTCTGTCATAGGTTAAAATGATAATGGCAACAAACCGACCTGATGTACTTGACCCTGCTCTCCTGCGTCCTGGGAGATTGGATAGAAAAATAGAAATTCCACTGCCAAATGAACAATCAAGGATGGAAATTCTTAAGATTCATGCTGCTGGAATTGCTAAGCACGGTGAAATAGACTACGAAGCAGTTGTGAAGCTTGCAGAGGTGAGTGCAGGTGGCTTGGGTTGGTTTAATTAATTGTTCATACGTGTCTGATGTATTGCCTGTTGCAAATTGCACAGGGATTTAACGGGGCTGATCTTCGAAATGTCTGCACGGAAGCTGGAATGGCAGCAATTCGTGCAGAGCGTGATTACGTGATCCACGAAGATTTTATGAAGGTTAGCTGTTTAGGAGTAATCTTTTCTTTGTATTGATCTACAAAGGTTCTACCTTGTCACTTACGGGGATTATTTTGTTTCTTACTTTGGTTGCAGGCTGTTAGGAAACTGAACGAGGCAAAGAAACTTGAATCTAGTGCACACTACAGTGCTGATTTTGGTAAAGAGTAGAATCTACTGCAAAATTCTTGCAGAGCCATGGATATCGAGGCAGTGCATCTCGAGTTGGAAATACCTTGTGCAAGTTATTCATTCGTAAAGCTAAGTGTGTTGTCCCCTTTGGGCTGTGACTTGTGCTGTCCACATTCTAAATTTGGAAGGATAACTTGTCAAACAGTGAATGGATGTTCAATTGATTTGTATTATCGTTGTTCCTCTTTTTGTTTCTGGATTGTAGAAGTGCGGCTCACATATTTATACTAGGCCTTGGCACCTTTTATATAAAAAAAATTAAAATTTCTATTTTTACATATTTACTTTATTGCCAATTTATTGATTATTTTTATATAAAGAAAAAAAAAATTAGAATATTAACCTTGTTAGTTATGACTACGCTTTTCTAGATATTATGTTAGTATGCAGAGACATTCTCAAACAATTTGTCACGTGTTTGATGTCTGACGAATGGAGGAATAACGGGCCGTGTTATTGACTTCATAAATTCAAAAATGGATATGTGAAACTTTTCACAATTTCAATTAGCTTAGATAGAAGTTCTATAATATACGTTATTGTATTACTTTGGGTAGTTTTTGTCTATATTTAATTAAAGTAAGTATATTTTCATTATAATAGTGCTGTACCCAAGAACTTCTCTTGACAAGGCAACTATCAGGGTCGGGTGTTTCTGTCATCAGAATAGGCCAACAGAGAATGATAGCGACACATAGCTTGTAACCCTCTTTTGTCGTGAAAAAACTAAACTCTAACATAAGGCCTGCACAAAATAACCGTTTTTAAGCCCAAAACAAAGCCAAATCTGCATCGATTTAAAATAATGTCACGTATTATTATTTTAATTTGCTCTGGATTCCAATTCATTTTATAAGCTGATACAATGCGTGAATACCGTCGAATGTTGGGATTTCATTTTCTATTCCATCTAGGCTATGAATACATGAAACATACACTAGTCTCTCGTGTATCAATTTTGGTACCTCAAGCACAGAAATCTATAGCAGGTTGTGTTCAGCGGCCACATTTAAAGTAGTTTTTTTTTTGCCAACCAGATTTAACTAAGTTAAAATATGCGAGCGAAGCATTTTAATACAGGTGGTGTATTTGTTTATATGTATTTTTGCGTTAGTCATTGCGTAGGCTGAGATTTTGCCGAAAGACGCTTCATTCATACAATTAATATGAACTCCGTTAACATGGTGAGAACATCTGGCGACAAGTCAACAATTTAAAATAAATCTAAAATAGAATTATTAGTAAAGCTAGCCTGCATACAAAATATTAAACTAACTTCTTGATGTTACTTGTATAACTAAAGAGCTGATGAGACTAACAGCTATGGGTAGGAGAGCTCAATCTTTACGATATCTCGCCCAAAAGCCCTTCTTCCTGGCAGAATCATTCACAGATAGGGAACGGCTCCACTTGGTTCCCAATGAAAAATGCCGCCTCAAGAAGGGCTTTCCAAATGAACTCTTCCTCGTACTGGAGCTTGGCTCCATTTTTGAAACTATATCTTTTTGGCGATCAAAAACATCTAACCCACTATCTAGGTAGCTGTCAACTACTCGGTTTCTTGATATCTTGTAGTTCTTGGCCCTAATCTCTGATTCAGTTCTAGGACCTTTTTTGGATAACTTTGATAATTGCTTCTCTCCAACCATACAAATAGGACAAGCTGGATCATAACTATCTGCCTCTGATGTCATAGTTTCCAAGCATTCTGCATGATACACGTGACCACAAACCAGTACAGCAACAACTGAGAGGTCACTGCTGGCAATAAATTTCTGGCTGCTCCACGCAGATCTCTCAGTCAAGAGCTTGGAGCAAGCCCCACAAGATTGCAAATCCATGGAGGGAGAATACGAAAACCTGCCACTAGTTCCACTTATCTTGTGACGACCTGAACCTAAATACTCACTGTCAAAAGACCACCTTTCCTTTTGCGATGAAGCCACCAGCTCAGAAAAGGTCCGCATAGACCAGCCATCAGATGACCCACATTGGGATCCTGTAGCTATATCATTGCTGCAATTGGAGAGTACAAACGATGGCCTTCCTTCAGACATTGAGTTGTCAGGTGATTTCAAACCCAGAATCCGACTATCAGAAATTTGTCGCAACAGCGGGTGTCCTGGAGAGCGATGAGCCCATCTGGATGGTGTTGAGTTAGGAAGATTGTGATAATTATGATTAGGCATTGGATCTGTTGTAGGTGTTGAGAAAACTGAAGGTATTGAAAATGAAAGATTTGGAATTGAAGACTCGGCAATCTCTGATGATTCAATCAGAGTCTTCACCTAAAGAGAAAAGTATAGCTTAAGACTGAGGTCAGTGCTACACAATAAAAGGTTTGTAATTAAGATGCTAGGCAGTTCTTATGTGTCAAATTTAGCAGTTCAAAACTCACCACTGCAGAGCAATTACTTGACAAGGATAGATCTGCAACAAGCACAGAGAGGTAGAACAAAAAAAATCAATGCCTGAACAAAAAAATGCAGTAACCACGGAACCAGGGAGCATAATTACTTGGATAATGTGAAGCAACGCGTGCAATCATTCTATACAAGCCATACTAGAAAACCTTATACCAGATGGGAAACAAACAGCAGAGTAAAAGCAAAGAGAAAGGCAATACATGATATAAAGAATACTGGTTTGAAAGAAGGATCTGTTGCATACAAAATAAAATTATAAAAGAAGAAAAATCTAGACGAGTAAGAATGAAAAAGTGGGTTTTTCATTTAAAAAAATGAATATAAAAAGAACAATAATTGATAAAGGAGCTTTGAAGTGATGCAAGTGCACAACCCCACCCTTAAACAGTGAAGAGAAAGAAACCTATTGATGATCAAGCCACACTTGCATTGATCCTTACTTCACACCCCCTTGTCAGTTAGAGGGTGAAGTTATCCAGTCTAAAAGACCTGAGAAATTTCTAGAAACCACTACTATGCATCATTATTAATGAGTATAGTGAAAGGTAGACAGGAAAAAGGTCCAAAGTCAAATTTGGCCAGAGAGCTTAACCAAAAATTTACCTATTGCCTCAGTTGGAAATGTGAAGCTTAAGGAAGTAAGAATAATAAATCTAAAGATAATAGCCAAAAGAATTCGTCCAGTCGCAAAATCTTTAAAAAATTGGGGTACTTTAAATTGTCATGAGCTAATGTTCCAGTAAAATCCACAAACGAACAACCGAATTAAGATTTACCAGAAGAGGGAGTCATCAGACTTGTAACCAAATGCTCACGAACAGGGGACTTCTGAGACATTGGTGTTACAGAATTCTCCAGGGTACTCCCCCCATCAGATAGAGTGCCTCTTTCAGAACTTAATTTTAACTCCATGCTGACATTTCTGCTGATTCTGTGAGATGCATGAGAGGAAGGATCCTCAATTTCACCAGCAACACGGCCCCAACTATCCCATCGGAAACTCCATGATGGTGAGCATACGGCATTTCTATGTAAGCCTTCACCTCCAGCTCTGTTGGGAATAGTATGATCCTTCGCAGCAACACAACAAGCCGATCCCATGATAACTGCTGACATACACGACAGTCAATCTAACTTGGAGACACAAAGACTAATCACCAAGTAATATATATAGGTAGGTTAAAGAACAGGTAATGAAGAAAACACATTCAATTATAAATCAGAGCCACCTCAATTTTCCAACAAGGGGCCAAAGCTCTAAATAAAAGCACACTCTAATCATCTCAAAGCTGTGCTACTAAATTATATTTCAAATGTTAGAAAGCACTTCTATTGCACCCATGACATGCAAATTAGAAAGAAAATATTAAGAACCTCCTTACGGCCTGAATTTGTAGGGTATGTTTGGACGGACAAGTTGGGAGTAGGGAAGGGAAGGTTAACTCCACAATTCACTCATCAGTATTGGGATTGCTAACTGATAATTTTATCCATAAGACGTGTGGTAGAAAGCAAAAGTCCCAAACCAAAATCTGCACACCACTCACACCCTCCTAGAAACTACACGGTAATAAAAACTCTAATGCACATAACTGTATGTGGTAAAAAAATGATAGTCATGAGACACGTCCCTCTACAGACACCAAAACTTTCTAATTGCCATCAACCATAGAAAAAGTGATTACCCAATAAACTATGAAAAACAGTTACAACCTAACTCGGTCACTGCCAAAGGAATCTAAATGTTCACACTCACTCAGTCGAAAGCACAACACAGAAGTGCACTCCAAAACCAATACTGAGAACTGCTCGATTCCCTACATAAAAAATCCATGAAACTCTCCAAAAACAAATAAAAATTTACTAATAAAATCAACAATAAATATTATAAAAAAAAAAAAACGAAAGGTTTGCAATTTAAAGAAGAACGAATCATCCATAGATGCACAAAATGAGGCAGTAATTTTGCGTGAGATTAGAAGGAGTTTAAAAAAAAATAAAAACTAGGGTTTTGAAGTGCTCTAAAGAGAGTGAATTAATAGAGTCCTAAAAATAGAGAGCATGAAGAAGGAATGTTACCTCTTCAAATCAAAGGTTGTAGTTTCGGAGAAAAAAATGGAAATCATTTGCAATTAGTCATTTTCGGCTTCGTCTTCGTCTTCTGAGTGTTACGGTATTTTGGGTAACGGCGTGGAGTCTCTGTTTAAGGCTTGAAGAGTTGAGCTTCAATCGTTATGACGGAGTTAGGTCATAGACTGCGGACAGAGGATGTTGAATACATCATCTTTCTCTTCCCCGCCTTTATTATTTCTTTTCTGTCTCTTCTTTTTTTCATACAAATAATATCAATCAACTTCAAATCTTCAATCCTGCTATTGCTATCTCTGCTTTACACTCCATTCATTTTTATCAGAAAAAAGTCACCCCATTTCATCTTTGACCCATTCCTATTAATATCTAACGTTCAATAACCTCTATTCACTGAAACTTATTTAATTTTAAATTCAAATTTATTACGATTCCAGTTAATATAAAACTGTTTGAATTATCAGTTTCTTATTTTTATTTTTATAAATTAATACATAAATATTCCTATGAATAATAATTATAATAAAAATTAATTAAAATACACTTGTATACTTTTTCATTCAGTCATTACTTATTATATCAATATTATATGTACGAAAATTGACTTAATTGTTTCAGAGTATAAAATTCAAAATAAAAAAAAATGAAAAGAACGAAAAATTTCTCTCGTTTTTGTTGACAGATAGAATTATATTTTGGTTTTTTAAAAAAGTAACAATATATATTGAAATAAATTCAATTTTTATTTTATTTTGACGGAGTAAATTTTCGTAACAAAAATTATCTCCTGAATTATTAAGAAGAGATGCCTTTAGGTTTTTTAATTAAAATATATTTTAAAGATGTCTGTATACAAATTTAATTTTAATGCATCGTGGATGTAAAAACTTTGTTTTTATTAATTAATTAAAATACACAATAAATATAATTTTAAATTACTGAACATAAAAGTTAAGAATTATTTATGATGAATACTAATATGAAAATTATATTATTTATATATTTTATTTAAACTAAAATAATAATATATGATATCCCGTATAATATTAATTTATAGTTATTCAAATAATAAAATTATTCATATATTTTCATATTAAAACATTATAAGATAATATTGCATGTAAATTTTATATTTATCTTTTTAATATCTAATAAATAAGTGAGATTCTTATTAAAAAACTTGAGTATAATTCACTCCCCTCTCACGCTTAAAATTGGACATCTTCACAGGTAAATTCAAATACATATGTGAATAGGCTAATATTTAAATTTGAGTCTAACTCATTTTTAAAAACTAACTTATTAAAAAAAACTACCTTAATCCTTAAGTAATATTCTTAGTCTATTCCTATCCAATATCGAACATCTTAACAATTCTATTAAAAAAAGAACTTACACGTTAAATCATATGAGAATGTTCTCTCGTTACAGAGCTACGCCCCAAAATTTGATCATCTCATCGATAATATGGCTGACAAAAATGTTTTACTTCTTTAATAAACCTAGCGATCGACCACGTGTAATAATAGATTACTCATCAATAAAACAAAATAGTTAAAATACAGATGAAACGAGGACACAGAAACCAATCAAATTCAATTAAATAATGCCAATTACTTTTTTCCAATGTAATGAAAGAGTATATAAATCAGTTTAGTTTTATTTGAAAAATAATCGAATCAGATTTAATAATTATGGTTAATTTAAGTTTTGTAAATCTTTCTCAAAACCAAACTGAACCATTCTAACAAGATCTTAGTAAGCTGAGTAGTTTAATTCGCATCATTAAATTGAAGTCGGGTTATCTCTTGAAAAGGTAAAACATATATATATTAAACATATGAACCAAACTCGTGTGTTCAGTGGGGGTCTCATATTACTTCTCTCTCACTCTCTCTCCCCATAACTATACATAAGTATAACGTGTGTAATAATGTAAAAAATTACATCGGTCGTGTCTCTATTTAAAAGCATGATGATGTTAAATAACATTCTTCAGAGAGAACTAGACTTCATTTGAACAGTGTTTTATTGTGTTTGGGTGTTGGAGATGAATAATTATACCCAAGCACACAAATCATTTCATATTTATGTAATTTTGATTTTCTAATTACAATTAATTGTACTTTGATTTATTTTTTTTCACGTTTATATTTTGATTTTGCCACCAAACATTTTTCATTTTGAATCAACCTCTTTTTTATTGGCACTTTCCCCCCTAAAGTAATACAATGAAGTTGACTATTCAAATTCAATGAAATACAAAGGCATACATAAATTATGAATTTACTAAAATAACATATCTAGATTTTTTCACAAAAACTGTTACTTGCACTTGTACTTACAACAAGACCACATCTGAGTTACCTTATGTTGATGATAATTAACTTTTGGATTCTAGATTCCTGCCGATGCTGAGGCAGTTTTCAATACCCAGCATTAGGTAAGAAAACACTGGACATGGGACAGATTCTCATATTTAGTATATTTAATATCCATTTAAAAACAAGTTATGAAAAAATAAAATAAAATAATACATATACATTATTTTGCTTGAGAGAAAGATTGATAATGGTACAATAATGGAACAGTAACTATTAACCATATTCATCACATGGCATACATTGCATCTCTCACAATATAGCAGCACCTTTTATCTCACCCATCATGTTTTCCCCGGGAGCGCCTCTACTCAATTCCGGCTGATTTTCTGATTTTTCTCACCTTGATTGATCCTCACCGCATTGGCTTCGCCAATCATTGTCACCGTGATCTTAGACCCGTCGAGGACAATGGAAGTAATGCCTTTACAAGTTACAAATAATTTCATCTCCTTTTGCCTGACCATGAACTGAGCAGTTTTACTGACGCTTGAGTCTTCTGCAATACCCAAGTCCGTCAGAAATATTAGTACTTCCCAACAACAAGCAGAGAAAGTCTTAAACCAAAATGAATAAAACGTAAATAGTACTGAAGCATGCAAGCAAGGATAATAAATGACTTTAGAAGTGGCGTCATAATTTCACAGTGTCAGAATGCTATAGCGTGAAAGTAGTGTACGATTACATCATTAATCTGAAAAATAGACAGCAATTGGGAATTCATAATTACAAATTCCAGAACAAGAATGATTTACTACGATAAAGTATTGTCTCACATATTCCCCATCGGTGTTAGCACATCTTGTTCACCGTGTTCCGAATCTATGCCCTCCCAAAGTGAACAAAATGCAGAAATACGTTCAGAAGTACAAGCTTCACCTGTACTTATATTGCACAATTATTCAGTTCAACCTAGATTTTTGTTCTCAGTAAACAAATACTCGAGAGTACAGAAATCACAACTTGAAGAGAGGAGAAATAACAGACTGCAATCAAATCCATGCTATATGCACCCTAATCCCAAATACCCAATGCTATTCACCAAATTTTACCAAAAGACAACATTTACTCAGCCCAAAACAAAATGCATACATCTAAGAGTCAGTTAGATGGGGGAGGAGAAGGTGCTTAATAGCAAGCTAGCTCATTCTGGAAACGAGTATGCTAAGGCTATTCATGATCTCTAGCATTTTCCTTAAGCCATATCAAGCATCAATTTCTGATATCAACAGGCTTTGTAGTGGTGACTGCTTTATTTTTAATATTACTTAACCTGAAGTGAGAAACAGATGGTTCAATCAATCCAAGGTTTATGATATATCAATATTCCATAAGGACTGGTCTACAAAGTTGTAATTAGTAAAGAAAATGAAGTCTTGAAACAAAAAAATAATTATCCTGGTCAAAATAGCACATGAAATTGTTAAACGAGTAGACGAACTTTGATTGGAATGTGCAACCGTGCTGGAAACAGCATGATCCACTGTGAATCCAGCTTATTGATGTATCTTCGCTTTTGTATTACTCGAATTTAAGATAATAAACAAATAAGGGAGAGTGCCTTGAAAATAGAGAGAGAGAGAGAGAGTAAAAACCTTGAAACGGCTCACGAACTCAATGTACAGCACACACATCATCAGTCAAGCCATGGCCAAAAAGGGCTGACCAAAGGAAAAATCAGATCTGAGCTGAAGTCACGGTCTACAATTGGCTTTGCTTTGCCGAATTCTGAGTACTGTTTACTGCATTACACCGGGAAGTTAGCAGATAACAATGATCATGAAGTTTGCGAAGCTAAAACTAATTCTGAGAGTTACTGTAAGATAATTTAGTGGAACTAATTTAGAACAGAAGGTATCTGATATTATTAACAACATAGTTTCTTTTCTTAAGCATAAAATTTGAAACTGAAACAACATGATGAAAAATTATCTAATAATTAAAAGCACTTGAAATCTGTATGTTTATAATATACAGAAATTGAAAGTCGAAATGCATGGAACAGGTTATATGAAGCGCAATACAAGTTTCCAATTTAAGATTTGCATACAAAAAGCTTCTGAAGGATAGAATAGTGTTTATCAAATTGCTCATACTTACCAATGCAATCTTCCTCAAGTGCATCTTATAACAGAGCCTACTAAATCTGAGTGTGCTGTTTGTGATGCTTGCAAGTGTGTGAGTTTCTTCTTTGATCCATTTTGACCATTTCTTTGTAGTAGCTCACTATCTTCTGATCTAATTCATAATATTCTTCCATTTTACTCATTCGCTTCAAATCCAAGTCAATAAAATATACCTAATATAGATCAACTTGCGGTTAAACTAAGATATAAGATGTAACAAGCATTACAGTTGTTAATCTTGTTTTATAAAGATAAAGAGAATAGAATTATTAACAGTGGAAATAATGTACTGTCATATTCACAGAAGATGTACTGATCCATTTTAGAATGAGTTGATGTACCGAAAAACAACTTTTGTTTTTATTGAAGTGTAATTCACAGAAGATTTTATATCATTTTTATCAAACAAATTCCTGAAAGACCTTTTACAGTAGCTTTTTAACCGCACCTACAGGATGGCAGCTTTTGAAAACCAACACCATTCCCAAATAAATCATGCAATGCACTTTCTAACTTTGCAAAATAAATAAACAAATAATAAAATTGTGAAGGCCTTCCTACCTTGAAATCGAAGGTTTGCTTAGTACTCTCAAGATATACATTGTTGCATACAGATCCAGAATCCCCCTCTTTCCTTGGTCTAAAACATATCATCAAACTGCAGTCTTTTGCAGTTGTTGCTATCAGGTAGTCCTTTACAATTCTCAAGCTTGAATCCAATGAGGCAGAATGCAAAGAGGTATATCTTTTCAGTTGTTCTTCACTCAATTCTCTGCATACCATGCACTGTTGACAAGTAATGTCATAATATGCATGGATGGCTCCTTCTATGTCAACATTATCAAGTTTCTGAACCTCCAGGAGCCGATCAAGGACTCCCGATTTCTGCACTGCCTCAGCAACAAGAGTAAGCAAGTTCTCTGTACATAGACCATCATCAGCTTGAAAGACAGATTTAAGTGCATCTTCAAAAGCTTTAGCAATACAAAAATTTGTATCTTCTGCACCACCTCCCAGACTACCAAATATGAGAGAGCCATTCATAAATACACGGAAATTGTTTTGAGGTGTAGTGAAGAGATCCTTGATAGCTTTACGAATTCTTTCCTTTGATCCGGCAAACAGATCAAGTGGATTGTATTCACTTAGCAGTGATATCTGCAAACATAATGGATAAACCTATATCTCAAATTTAAGGGTTAAAAAACATAGTATATATTTAAGTGAATTTATAACAACATCCATCAACAGAACAACAGATTAAATTATGAGACTAAATGATATGACGACCGGAAGAAGTATGCCATGCACAATGCAGCAACTGACTGAAGCACCATCAAAGGTCAAATTTGTGTATGGCGTACCTCTCCTTGATGCAATTTCAGAGCTTGGTGCATTTGAAAGCGAGTTATCCTCCTTTTGATAGCAGTTCCTTCAGATATGAATCTTGAAAGAGGAAGAAATCCACATTTGGGCTACTTGTTCGAAACAATACTTAAAATGTTAACACCAAGCGAAAGAGCGAGTTGGGGGTGTGGGGGGGGGGGGGGGGAGCAAAAGTTGACTATCAATTTAAAATTTATAAGTTTAAACTAAGTAGTTGTTGAACAAGGGTGCAAAAAAAGAAACAAGCAACCAAAAGATTAGTAATGTATGACATAATGGAGAGCATACCTTTATCTCAACAGATATGCAGGGGATGGATCCTGGGTTACCTGAAATGAAAAGGGAGCTTGCAACAGAACTTTCAATTGTTTTGCAGATGTGTTGTGGAGTCAGAAAACTAAAATCATGGATTTACTAAACGAATATTACAAGGGATAACATCCAAAATGAAAGGGGGCATAAATTAGGGTTTTCTTGTTTGAGCAAAGATTAAGCAGCAAAATAGCATACTTAAAAGGTTAATAGCACGTTCGGTTTCTGTTCCACCACTTTACCTTACTTTTCTCCCACTAACAGTTTGCATATATTGCAAGTTTGCAACAACATATGGCACATGTTTGTATTCTGACCCAACCGAGGCATCCAATCATGCACTGTAGCCAGTAGCTAAGGTTCATACTAATTTCTCTCACTTCTACAGATAGATGATTCTCAGCAAGGTAATATAAAATGTTAACTGAAAGAAACACAAGGTTCATAGGCTGCATATTCCACAATTTTACATGTATAAGGGGAAAAAACAATTATTATTTGAACTGAAGAAGAAAAGAGGGTTCAATCGATGAAGTGATGAACGTCCAGTGTTACATACTAATACTAAGATGCTAGAAGCAAGTCCACAGAGACACCTCAATACCATGAGTGAAGAGTGAATGATCAGACATGAGAAGCACAGAATCGCGATGCATGTTGACCTGTGCTGTATCAACTCTCCAAGCAGGTCGTTGACAAATAACATTCTTTTCAACTAATTCAAGAAATTCCCTGGAGACCCGAACAAGCATCTAACAAAGCATCAAAGAATAAGTGAGAATGAGAGATGAAAATCTAACGATCTCACTTACATAACATCTTAACATGGTTTGTTTAAGCTTATTTTGAAGAAATGATTGTTTACTATTGCCATTGGTGAAGTATTAAAAAAGGCATCGACGAATGAGAAGAGATACCCCAGCATCAACAAATTTGGAACCGAGCAATGGCTTCATAACGTGGTGGACGAAGAGTTGGCATGCAATTTCATTGTCGGGAGATGAAATGAGTTGATGAACATCTTTCCAGAGGAGGCGTTCGTGCGCAGTCATGGCAGAAGGGCTCCTCTTACTCATAGCCTCTGCGCCATTCCTCGGAGCCTTACGAATGCGCATTACTTTCCCAATCTGCCAAAACACAAACACCATTAAACAATTCAATTCGATTCAATACAGAGAATTGAGAATAGAAAGAAGAACGCACAAACGGAGGAGATGATCCGGTGTAGGCGAGAACAAGATTAGCAGCTCCTTCGCCTCTGTAAACCCACTCTGCTGCGTCATTTTCCCTTAAAATCACCTCCATCCAACAACGTTTGCCTGAAATCAAACGACGATGATCGTTCAAGCATTTCATCGAACGCTCCAAATCAATCAGAGAAAGAATTTCAAATACCTAAGAACTATAATTCAGACAGAGGAAACCAGGTGCCTACTGCCCGCACTTCCAGTAATTGCGGCTCAGATCCTTCACGTTGCTTTAACTGTAACATAAAATTTAGTAATTTTACACAATTTTGGTCGATCCAATTGAAGATAAAAAATAACTCCACTAATTTACACACAACTTTCATGTGGACCGTTCAGTATGGCCCTAACAACCCAACATAATATTCTGCCTTCTTATTGCCTAATTTCAATATTTCAACCACATTTGGATCCCAAACATACACACATTAACGACATTGAAACTACTTCACTAATTTTTAGAAATAAATTGGACATGATTGTTATTTTTAACCCTGGAATTTCAATTTATTGCCATTTGAGCTAAAAATTTCTTTTACTATATTATATTAATTCTCATCACATGAAATTAAAAGAAACATCAACCTTTATAAATTTTCTCTAAAGAAAATGGTAAGGAATAAGATGATCAATTATTATATGAGTCAATCATATGTTATTTCTTACATGTGATTCGATTACATCTTAACATTTGATTAACTCATCGTTTTATGTAGTTTAAACTTTTAACTGCACTCGTTGCGTTAAACTTCATATTAATTTCAGTGGCTGAATCTTAAATTGCCAATAAAGCTCTTCAGACTAAAGTATACCCTACGGGCGTGAATTCCTCGAAAAATTAGTGCTCTGGATATAATAGGAGTCTGTATCGGCTTTTCTACAGAAGTTCACGGTACTTGTTAATAATTTGTTTGAATTTCCTCAACTAAATATTCTTGATGAAGATTAAAAAAGAAGGCTCGTTCATTTTGGTTAAAGAAGAAGGCTTATGAAGCTTGGTGGAGTTGACTTTCAGAATGATTCATTGAGGCATGGTTGACTCCATTCCAGAAAGTGAAAACCCATTTGTATTATTGAAAAAATAAGTAGTGATACAAAGTTGAAGAGAACATTAACTCACCTGGTGGATTGTTAAGGGTTGAGTACAAAGTTAAAAGGAGCATTGACTCACCTAGTGGATTATTGTTGAGGGCTCTAGCAAAATGTAAGTGATAAATACTTCCAGTATGCCAGAGAGAGTTATATTTTGGTTTTTAAAAATAGATGTTTCGTTTAATTTAATTTCAAGTAACAATACATATTGAAATAAATTCAATTTTTATTTTATTTTGACGGAGTAAGTTTTCGTAACAAAAATTATTTCTTGAATTATTAAGAAGAGATGCCTTTAGGTTTTTTAAATTAAAATATATTTTAAAGATGTCTCTATACAAATTTAATTTTAATGCATTGTGGGTGTAAAAAATTTGTTATTATTAATTAATTACAATACACAATAAATATAATTTTAAATTACTGAACATAAAATTTATTAATTATTTATGATGAATACTAATATGAAAATTATATTATTAATATATTTTAATTAAACTAAAATGATAATATATGATATCACGTACAATATTAATTTACAGTTATTCAAATAATAAAATTATTCATAATTTTTCGTTCGTGTTTTTTTTTTTTTTTCTGTTGAAATGCAACAAAAACAAAAGATCTGGACCAAGGCCATTTTTGCCATGTTTCAAAATGTGATACGAGGAGCGAGGGGTTTTCTTTGGCTAGCAATGTCACTTCAGTTTTGTCATGTGATATTCATTCATGATCGTCAAGAATAAATAGAGCACAATCATAACAAAGAATAAAACGTATGATTCATATGCTACAGTTGGTTGGTTATTAGAAGCATAGATCAATTAAATGCAATGATACGTGAAGAAAACACAGCATTGAACAGTAATGATTATTTTCATATTAAAACATTGTAAGACAATATTGCATGTAAGTTTTATATTTATCTCTCTAATATCTAATGAATAACTGAGATTCTATTAAAAAAGAACTTACACGTTAAATCATATGAGAATGTTCTCTCGTTACAGAGCTACGCCCCAAAATTTGATCATCTCATCGATAATATGGCTGACAAAAATTTGTTTTACTTCTTTAATAAACCTAGCGATCGACCACGTGTAATAATAGATTACTCATCAATAAAACAAAATAGTTAAAATACAGATGAAACGAGGACACAGAAACCAATCAAATTCAATTAAATAATGCCAATTACTTTTTTCCAATGTAATGAAAGAGTATATAAATCAGTTTAGTTTTATTTGAAAAATAATCGAATCAGATTTAATAATTATGGTTAATTTAAGTTTTGTAAATCTTTCTCAAAACCAAACTGAACCATTCTAACAAGATCTTAGTAAGCTGAGTAGTTTAATTCGCATCATTAAATTGAAGTCGGGTTATCTCTTGAAAAGGTAAAACATATATATATTAAACATATGAACCAAACTCGCATGTTGAATTACAAATTAAAACAAGTGGTGACTGGTGATTACTGATCATCATTATAAGATTAGTGCCCATTAATTTAAAATAAATAATTTTTAATAAAATTGAGCATAATTAAAATATATTAAAAATGATTTAAATTGTATACTGTTATCAAATGTTTTATTTTTTTAACTTTGAAATAATTAATCCCCAAATGTGGTGGTTGTCAAAACATGAGAGAGTTGGAGCGATGTTATTGAGTAGCTGTCGGGCAGTGAAGAAGTGGCGCTAAAAACCAACGGTTCCGGTGCGCTTAGCGATTCTGTGGTCTGCGCCTGCCTTTGAACAAACAAACGAAGAAGATGTTGTGCTGTCCAAAATTCAAAAATGGTTAATTATCCAAACGAAACGTTGCAGCCCTTTAAGCTCTCTCTTTCTATCTCCAGGACAAAAAACAAGAGGCATCAAAATGAGCCAAATCCAAGGACTAGCAAGAATATCTCAATACACGATGTTGACTCAATTTTACTCCCGATTTTAATTTCGTATAACTCATCCTAACTCAAAATCTTATTGATTCTTACGAGTTAGGTCAGCAGTGGACCAGATTAGACCATTAATCTACAAATTTCTATAACTTTCTGGATTTTTATTTATTTAAACTATTTTTTTATATTAAGTTAAACGTTGATGTTAACAAATAAGAAATAAATAAAAAAACTAATAACACATTGATAATTTGACAAAAAAAAAACGTTGATAATGAAATTTTTCGTCTCATAGTCATATTAAATACTAAATAACCATATATAATATGTTAATGTAAAAAATATAATAATATTAAGATATAGTATAAACTTAATAAATTCATATAAATATTGTACATGTATATTAAATATCATATTATTATTAAATTATAAAGAATTTGTTTAAAAAAAAGTAAAACTATAAATTATTAGTAAGCATGGTAATTTATACTAGATTGTCAAGATAAAATGAGTAAAAACTCCAAGTGCTAAAATAATTTTGTATATAAATCCATAAATTTTACCATCTATCTGGTTCTCTGTTGCGCCAATGCAACGGATTTTGAAAATTAAAAAATACGATCAGTGGTTGTTGTAAATAAATTCTTTTAAGTAATATTTTGATTCTCACACAATTGATTTTCGCTTGAAAACTAACTGTTTTTCATATCATGTAAAAGTGACAAGGCTGGAGTGCTCTTTTAATAGCAAAATCTAAAGATTATGTTGAAGCTACTATACGTTCGAGCGTTACTAGCCTACTTATGTTTAAGTTTCATTTATAAGCCGAATAAAGTAAATTTTTTATATATTAATCGATGTGTGTTATTATTTAAAATAGTTTTTTACATTGCAAATATTTTAACACAATTATTTTACATCTACGTGTTAATCACTGAAAATAAAACTGCAGCAAACAATTGTGCGTCAAATTTAATTTTTATATTAAAAATCAAATATTTTTTATAAGTTTAAAATTATTGAATTTAAAATATCAAATAATCGTCGAGTAATAATTCAATAGTAACATACATACTATATAAATAAAATGAAAAGTAACAATAACAAGTCCCTTGTTAAAAGCAAACACATTACACACCATAGATACACTAACAACATATATAAACTGCACTAGACACTCTCACCGAAATCTCTTTTTCCACAATATTGGACAAGAGTGATTAGTACTAATGACCTAACACAAAGGAGCAGGGCACCATGTCATTTTCATTAAGCACTTCACTAGTTCTGATTATGTATATCCCACTTAATATTGCCCCACCCTAAGAACTGTACCAATATGTAGTTTTTTACTAACTCATTGACTCCACCAAGAAGCAACTCCAAGAGAACAAAGTACCACCAACCAAACAATGGACACACAATTTTACTTCTTTTGTCCGAGAAAATTCACCATTGAAAAATGGGTTGGTTAAGGCAGTGCATATTCATGAAATTTTGTGCACTTGTTAGATAACAATCCCTTTCATAGGACCCGGTGGTGGTTGTGTTGTTGATGATGTTGATGATATCATTCAGTGACTGAAGCCTTTGGCTAAGCTCTCCCATCTGGGCCCTCAGAACCGAATTCTCTGCCTCAACATTCAGATAGTGTTGTGTGGTGATGTTTATGCTCGTCAGAATTTCCCTGTTGTCCTTTGTGAGCTGTGACACCTGCTTCGTTAAATCATCCAAGTGATTCTGCTTCCGCATCCGAGATCTTCTTGCTGATTCTCTATTTGATTGCTTTCTCTTGTTCCTCCTTTCATCATCAATCAGAACCTGCAATTCTTCCTCAGAGCCTGAGCTCTGAATTTTGGTGGACGTGGAGGAGTTTCCACTTGATGAGGCCATGAAATATTACACCGAGACCCAAAAAAGAGAGACTGTCTCGTGGGAATTTATTAATTTATTTATTTATTCCAGTTGCAAAAACTAAGATGAAAAATTAAACCTAATAAAGACGCAGGACCCCGAAACGCTAACAATATACACCTGACTTGGACATATACTTATCACTAAGTTACATAATAATATGTGACATAAAAGTGGAGATTAACGAAAAAACATAGAACCAGTAGAGAAACACAACAGAGAAAGATTGAACCAAGTGGGTCCTGCGCCTGAAGGAGGAATTGATCATAAACCCGGAACGAAGGATTTCACTGAGAACTGGAAACATTAATGTGAAACATGAACATACAGATATTCAGAAATCAAGATTCAAAGGAAGAAGCTTTTTTTTTTAATGAGAGATAAGCATAGAGCAAAATCAGTACCCCTCAGATATAGATTACCAACAAAAAGAAATGGGTTTTGGGTCAAATTCCGAAATCAACCACACCCATCAAAGATTAACAAGGGAAGGACGGAAAATTAAACTAAGAGATAGAAGTTGAAGAGGTGTAAAATGATAAAGGAAGAGAAGGGGAAGTGGTATAGGTAAGTAGGGAGGAATATATAGAAGGGGTTGACGGGGACAGACAGAAAGAGAGACAGTGAAAGAAAACAGATATTAAAGAAAAGATGGAAAAGTAAATTAAGGATGGAAGACAACGGTGGAAAAAGCAAAAAGCATCGGAATCTCCTCCAAGGTTTGGTAGAACAGAAGCATTCTAACCATTAGAAATTAATAAATTATTACTTTAATCATTTTTTAAAAACTTAATAAATTTAATGTAATTTATGAGTTACTATATTTTTTATCGTGCTAATTTTTATCGTTGGTAAATTTAATAATACTTCAAAAAATTATCTACATTACATTATTTTTCTTAATCGTATTATTTTAATCGTTTTAACACCCAATGGTTTATATCTCTTAAATTTTATTTTATTTTATTTTATTTCTTTTTAATTTTTCCTAATATATAGAAATTCTATTTTATATCAAAAAATAAGTTTTGACAAATAGTAGACAGTAGAAACGAAAGATAAAATAAGAAGAATCTTCAATACTCTTTTAACTGATAGTTTATAATTTGGACTACGTTATGACTTATTTTGAAGGGATGTTTAATATTTAGATTATTATTTTTTTATCTATACCTATCATGTATGTGGTGTTTTATTTTATTGCATTGTCTATAAAAAAGAATTGAATAACCAATCCAATATAATATTGTAAAAGAATATAACAAACAATAATGAATTGGACGTTGCATTCAAAATAATCTAAAACAAACCAAGAGAAAATTTAATAGTTAGATTAAATGACATTAATTTAACAAAATATTTAAATGAAACTGCTAATACTCTAAAACAATTACATACAAAATATTTTTATTTATTTTTACAATATTCTTCGATTATTATAAGTTTTAGAATATTTATACGACTCCTCCCAACAATATTAAGCATGTGGACTTCAGAGTGTGTTTGGTCAAAGAATGAGTAGGCAGTGAAATGAAAAACGAAGGTAAAGATTTTCCTTTATTTATTTATTTTAGTTAGAGAGAAGTGAGGGAAGAAAAGGTCTTTTATTTGGTTTGCAAGAACGAATAATACAAGTAATGTTTTATTATACATATAAATATCAAAGAAGGTAATGAGAGTTAAAATGGGATATCAGGACAATTTAATCAGCATGGTTCACAAATTACAAAATATCTTTTTAATTTTAACATTGAAGGGGGAACAAAAACAGAAAAAAAATGATTTATTCCAATTCTTTTAATTAAATTTTATTTCTTTTCGTATTGTTGATGTTTAAATTTTAATTAATTCGAATTGTGTGAATTTATTAAAAATAAAAAAGAATAGATTGAGGCAAGGGTGGAGGTGGCATAGACAAATCGCAAAAAGCTAATGTAATAATTGTATGAAAAGGAGAGTCGGTGGCTAAGTTGAAATCAAAACATTTTCATTGAAGAGAACAACTGAACTGACTAGCACGTGAAAGTTACTTCAACCTCGTGTTCTTTTAATTAGTTCGTAAATAAAAATAAATGTGCATATAAGACTTTCTTGTTATTGGTCACATCACTGTGTGATCTTAATCTTACACTATTTCCTACTACAGTTTATATCATATAATTATAATAATAGTTAAAAATAATTTATTTAAAATCTAAAAACTAGCTCATAAGGCGACATCTATGCTAACTTCTACAAGGAATATTCTAATTATATATTTGTAGCATGTTAAACATTTATAGGCTTTATAGACATGAACAAGAATTTTGACGATGGTGAGAAGTGGCACCACTCCCAAAAAGAAAGAAAGTAATGGGAGTGAAGCTAACACTAAAAATGAACAGTGGCCTGAGCACTGAAAGCAGTTCGGGCATGAATGCCCAGAGTACTGCCAAAACCAAAACAATGGCTGCATTATTAAATTGGGAGAGCAATCACTATACAAAGATATAATCTATATTCGGTAGGTGTGCGACCTTAAAGATAATTCCACCATTCTTCACTAAAAAATCAAATTATCAAACGCATTCAGAACAGAATAAAGTATATTAATTTGCTTTTTAATTTGTAAATTTATTATTTAAAATGTGTATTTGACAAATGAGCTAACATTCTTAAATTTTTATGTTTTCTAAATGTCACTTAAATATTACTTGATGCATAGTTTGGAGCTAAATATTATTCTTTATATATCTATCGCTAATATTTTAACAAATTTATTTTTAAAATACAGTTAATTATACGAATGAAGTTAATTTAAATCAAAATTTATAAGTGCTCAATCATACACATAATGTCCTAATGCATTCCATGACGATAGTTGCCATAAAGTTTAAAGTCAGGTTAGTGATTGTAGCTGGCGACGGTAAAGAGCAAAGTGGTCCCTTGAAGATGGAACCTCACAAAAAGAAGTGCAAAATTTTAAACCCGAAAGTTAAGTACGTACCATTTGTAATTGTAAGCAAGTTGATGAAAAGTATCTGGTTTCAGAGACATAGCCGAAGCTAAAGCACACATATTAATTAATTAAATTATAATTTTTTTTCTAGTGTGTGAAATCCAAGATAACTTTTTGATGTTCCATTGTTATCTTTATTGAGGATTTACCAAAGGTGAATCGCTCTTTAATGTGAAATACGTAATCCTCTCTTTCTGTGAAAAGATAGTAATACTCTCTTAAAAAAAATGATTGATTCGTTTAAAATGAATTTATAGGTGGACTTCCAACGCTGGAACAATTCCCTTGAAATCCAATAATTGGTATGATCTCTTTATACACACACACACACAATTTTTGGAAAGAGATTTGGTGGTCGGATTGCTGGGCAGACAAATTCAAACTCCACTTTCCAGTTTCCACAAAGGGGTTCCTAACCTAACCAATACGTTTTGTTTCATCTTTATAAATAACCTGTGCCTCTTAAGCTTTGTTTGAGAGTAAGAAAAAGTGGAGAAGAATTTAAAAAGAGAAGGATATGAAAAAAAAAGGTTAAACTCCTCTAATTTTTTTTTATATATTTAACACTGAGATGATAAGAGTTAATTATATAAATAAGATAAGTGCAAAAGCTATCAATTTCTGATAATTGAAGACGTCTCTTTTAGGAGAAAAGACGTCGTGATTTGTAGGGAGTAGGGATGATAGCATCTGTTGAACGGGAGAGGACCTCGTTAAGTTTAGAGATTTTTTTAAAAATAAATTTTGATATGGAGATGGAATTATACTCTATTCTTAAAGGTTTTCATATATTATAATTGATAAAAAAAATTATTTATTTTATATATATAAACTTAAATTTATAATATAAAGTTTGATTGTAGTTGAATAAAATCATGAACCACACAAATTTGCGTGTGTTGATCTATATTTATATATGTGTTATGTTATGCAATTGATGTTTTGTTTAAAAATATTTATTTTTTCAGTACATTTAAAATACTTTAAACAAATAACTAATTATCAGCTATTCCCAAGCATAAGCTAAGTATGTTTTGAATGCAAGATGATTAACACAACTCTATTTAATGACAGTTATAACCTTTCTTATTTTATAATTTTTTTCATTTTTATTAATAATTACGGTATATCACTTTTATTCAATTTTTTTTTATCTACAAATAAAAAAAATTTGAAAGAAGTTGAAAACAGATGATTTGTGGGCCTTTTCTTCAGTCAATTTTGTGGGCCTTTTCGATTGAGTCGCTCATGTACATTACCTTAGTCTGGGCCTTCTATTTGCATTCTCTTTTTGGTCAACGGCTTTTTATTCACTGAAACAGCAGAATTTCCGTCACTCGTTGTTTCAGTGGGTTACTAGTTACACTACATAGAATTGGAAAAGAGACTTGCTCTATGCAACCTCGTTTTTTTTACATCTCATTAATATTAAACTCTCTTAACAATAATTTAATTTACTATTTTTTTATTTTTGTTGATTAGTTTTTATTTTTAGCTTCTACTTCTTAAATTTTTTTGTTTTTCCATAACCATATTCTTTGAACGCATTTCAAGCACGTTACTACCAAAGCATGTTCATTATTTTGAATGTATTATATAATGCTTGATTTATTATAAAATAAATGGCATCTTCATCGGGCTTCGTCAATATGTCAGGACTCTTTTGAGAATAAGTTTTTTACACTAATGAAAATAACTTTTTGAAATTAGATTTTCACAATTACAAAAATTAATTCATGAAGTTATTAATTTTTTATAGAAATGATTTTTCGGAATCAGGATTCTACCGTTCTGGAAATAAGTTTTCAAATTTTACACTTTTAAAAATTAATTTTCAGAATTACAAACCATTTTTTAAAATTAATTTCTGGAAGTGTAAAATCTAGAAACTTATTTTCAAAAGTGTAAAGTTCTAATTTTGAATCATTATTTATAGAAAGAATTAATAATTTTATAAATTAATTTTAAAAAATGTGAAAATTTAATTTTGAGAATTATTATTATTGTTATTATAAAAGATGTTTTGGAGAAAATTTTCAAACTTTTAAATAGAGGTGTGAAAAACAGGGTGCAAAAAAAGAAAAACCCCAATAAAAAAATTAATAGTTATTTTGTGTTTCCTTCTGTTGGGCCAAGATAATAGAAGAGGAAGCTCGAGACAAGATATTACCTATGAGACAAAAAAATTAAGGGTACGTTTGAATTATATTTTTAGAACAGTTTTCTGTTTTTAAAACTGAATTCTAATAATAGGCTCTTTATAATTAATTCATTATTTTTTGAAAAAAATGAATTCAAAAGACAATATTCATAGTCAATGCGAGACATATGTTAACGAATTGGAAAACAAGAAAAAGAAAAAAAGAAGATAGTAAGGAGCTGCAATGGAGGCTTGCACACCAGTTAGAATATTTAAGATGTAACGTATTCACGGTACCGATTATAATAAAATTAGCATAAGCAGGTAACAAAATTTTGTAATCTCACAAAAATGTAAGGAAGTGTAAATCCAGGTAGCGTGTATCAACAACCATTTTTAATTTTGGTTATGGAAAAATCGAGAAAGGGGAACATGTTTATAATTAATACATTATTGATAAACATTAGACTTAATTTACAAAATGGTTTATAAAAGACACAGGAACATGTTTATGTACAAACCAAACGAGGCTACTACAATACATAGTTCAAGACATAATCAATCCCTCAACACGGCGGTTAAAACTGTCATGCGCATCAGCAAAGCACAGCTATACATATTTTTTAAGATGACCATCTTTTTGCTGTTTCTGCTCTCAACAAAGTGGAAACAGAATATATATTGGCTCACTGATTTCAAGGCTCTCCTAATTATTTGAAACAAGTTAAGATATTAGAACTCTCTAGGCACCAACGAAAGTGATCATAACAGAGAAATGAAGAAAACAAGATTACTAGCACAACCCAGCATTTTCCATAGCAGATTCAGGATGGTAATGAAGCATCTCTTTCCACATCATCTCCCTTATCATCTCTTCCCCTAGATCTTCATCAATGTCAAGATCAATTGGAATGATGGCTGGAGGGTCACAGTTAGGATCATATAGAGGTGCCATGTAAGGGTGTTGAAGCGCTTCTGTGACACTAATCCTCTTTGTTGGATCGAAAACAAGCATTTTTGCCAGTAGATCAATTGCCAATGGATGTGCATTAGGATAAAGCCGGGAAAAGGGGGTTCCAGGAGAATATGGAAGAGATTTGATATACTTCTTCGCCTTTGGATTATCAATAAATTCAATATCTTCCTCCCTTCGACTACCAAGGATATTGATAATCAATTTTAGTTGGTTGAGACACTCTGAACCAGGGAAAATAGGTTTCCGTCCAAGAAGCTCTGCAAAGATGCATCCCACTGACCATACATCAATAGATGTCCCATAGTTGTCACAGCAGAGTAAGAGCTCTGGTGCCCGATACCACCGAGTGACGACATATTCAGTCATGAACTGGTTCTTGCTACAGTTAGTGCGTGCTAACCCAAAATCACATATTTTTAGGTCACAATTTGCATTAATTAGAAGATTCCCAGGTTTCAAGTCACGATGAAGGATGTTAGCTGAGTGAAGATATTTCAAGCCACGAAGCAACTGCAACAAGGAACTTTCAATTGTTTAATTCAATGAACACCTAAGCAACAAAAATGATCATAATTTATAACTTCAGAAAGCCCTACAAATGCACCATGGTATGATTGATGTCAATTCTTAAGGGACCAACCATAGGTTTAGAAAATAAAAGGGAATTTTAGAAGGCAGGAGGGTAAATGCAAAATGCAACAAGAAGGAATTTAAAATGATGATATCACACAGGTCTGTAACCGTACTAGACCTTGACATATTGAGTTGGATTTTTACAAAACTACCACAAACTTAGTGCAGATTTGGAAAGTCCATAAAATCATGTTAAACTAAATTTTAACATGAAAGTTATAACTTGTAGCATTGAAATGAATACACGTTTGAGTAAATTTCACGTGAATCCAAACACACTATTACAAATAATTTCAACATGTGTATTTTCTGATCAGTTTCAACTCTAGAATACTAAACATACATAGAAAGTATATAATATGAACGCTTGCTATTCATGGTAACAAAGTTGACATATTTGAAGCCAATAATGTTCTGTTACCCCAACAATGGGCCAAAGATTCATACCTGAAACAGGAAATATTGACAGTGATCATTAGACAGTGCCTGAGAAGACTTAATAATCTGATGCAAATCCGTGTCCATGAGCTCATAAACCAGATAGACATCTTTGAAACTATTTCTATGAATAGGCATCATGATGTCCTTTAAAGCAATCACATTTTCATGGTGAAGATGCCGAAGAAGTTTGAGTTCGCGCAAAGTCCTCAGCGCATCAATCCGATTTTCAAAGGCATTTTGTATCTTCTTGATTGCAACCTTTTCATTGGACTCTCTATTCACAGAAGAGCACACAATTCCATATGCCCCTCGACCAATGGGCTTGATGGGCACGTATTTTGTATCAATCTCAAACAGGGTTTGCCACATGGAATAATAATGCTTGCCTTCAGTTTTGATCCCATTTGGAGGCTCAACAGGAGTCGCCATTCCCTACAAATCAACATCAACAAGTCCATGATTTCGAACCAATCACAATTCAGAAAGTTTCAGTGCTCACTGTTCAGTGGCGAGTAACAAGAATCACAAACAGACAGAGATAGTAGTATAATTATTAATCAGCAATAATCCTCCCCCTAATACAATTAAATTAAGAAATACTTGAAAGCTTTATGACTAACCAACCTAATTAGATCCAAATCTAAAATTTTATTTAATTAATCTAGATCTGTAGCAAATGAATGATGTGTTTAGAAAAACAGGGTTAAAAGCAAAGACACACTGGAGAGTAATTATTAAATAAGCAAAAAAAGCGAGTTTATTTACAAATGTGGAAAGAACGTAAGAGAAAAGGGTTACCTTTATATGGAAAAACGAAAGTGAATCGCTACAGCGGTGGCAAAGAATCGGATTTCATAGGCAAAAAGCGAAGATTGAAGATTTATTGAATGCAGAGGGTGTTGGCTTGGGTATTTTCAGCGATCGAGATTCCTTGTGTCGTCGGAAGTAGAGAAGATATTTGGATTTTGTGAATGGAACTGCTTCTCTTCTCTTCTCTTCTCTCTCTCACGACACAGACACAGACACACGCATGATGATGTAACAAAAGTCACACCCGCGTTTTGCTCCAGTGTCCGCACCTAGCCTAGCCTAGCCTACCCTCCTTTTATTTTCTGTTTTTTCTTTTTGTGATCATACTCCTTTTGGGCTACGCCATTCTTTTTTTTTTTTTAAAATTACTCAATATCCCTTCCGTCACTTGATTCTTTTTTTAAGAAAATAAAAATAATAGATTTTTTTATTTATAAAACGTTGCATTGGCTAAGTTTTATACTTTCATTAGTTTTTTATTCTCCAGATTAACTTCACCCTTAAAACGACAAATGATATTTTTTAAGATAAAATCTACTCCCCCTTTATAATCAAGAGAATTCAATATTCTTTAATATTTATCTCTTTTTATGTTTATTTTTTAATCTCACTATCCTATAATTATCTTTAGGAAATAATTCATTAGTTTTTGTAACTGCCTTTCTGTTTTGTTTTTTTTTATTTATAATTTTTAGTTTTCTTGTTTTATCTCTTTAATGTCACGTAAGCTTTAAGTTATTAACGGGTTTATCCCTTAATTCTCGTCGTTTGGATTCAAATTCACGAGTCCAGTTCCCTCTCTCGACGACTTCTAACTAAAGCTGGTTAAGAAACATGACATTATATACCTTAATGTGTGGATAGCATGACACTACAGAGTAACCCACCTTTAATTGTGAAAAATTAATATTTTTATTGAATACTCATTTTTATATTATTAATTGATTAGGATATATTATAGACGTAACTTTTGTATTCTATCGAATCTTATTAAGCATGATATATTTATTAATATAGTATACAATCACGCGAAAAAAGTACTTAAAAATGGTTAAATCGTGTTGTTATGAATTTGAGGTTTATTTTTTAAAAATAATGAGTATTACAAAAAAAAATGACCGGTTATTTTATCTTTATATTGATTCTTGAGAGAAAGATAGTGATTATAAGAATATGAGACGACAAAAATGATAGAAATATATAATTATTATATCTACGGAAGGCATAAATAGTTATCCTTTTAAGAAATTAAGCTAGAGAGTATACATTAACCAAAATTATCTCATGTAATGCTGTATTAGTCAAAGAAATTAATAAACGTACAGTTATAAAAATTTATCTCGACTGTTATATGAAATGCATCATAGATGAAAGCTAGTGCTTTTTATTCTGGTGATTATGAATATTTTTTGTATATTTTTTTAAATCTTTATTAATAAAGACACATCTTTACTCAAATATGTAATTTTTAAAAAAATCTTATTTATTACAGATGTTTGTATAAACTTAGCAATAAAAAATATAAATTAAATGAAAAATACTATTTATTAAATTTAAATGCTTTTATTTGAGAGCATATATTTTTTAATTATACCATATAATTAAATATTTGTGTCATATTTGTTTCTAATATGAAATTTATCCTTGTTATTTAGCTTAAAAAATTTTAAATTTACATTAAACTCCATGATATAAGCACTTAAGCATTACTTACCCAAGTTAGGTGGCTATTTATTCAGGGTTATTTATTTATTGAATAAAAAATAACAAGGAAAATAAAACGACACGAGTCAAATGACGTTGGCAGTTACGGGGCCACGTGGCTGGTGCGTGTCAAAACGGCAATGCGTTTGTTGCGAGGCGTGGACAAAGTAAAGGAGGACGATGAGTTGAGTTGAAGGAAGAAAGAAAAAGAGAAGAAGAAGAGAAAAATCAACGATGATATCGCAGTTCTTCGTGCTTTCACAGAGAGGAGACAACATCGTCTTCCGCGACTGTGAGTACCATCTTTCATTTCCATGATCCATCAATTTCCATTAACTCTGAATTCAAATTTTCTTTGTGACAGAGCGATTTCATCCACTCACTCCTTTTGTGTCCCTTTCATTTTTGTTAAATTAAATGAAATGCAGATCGTGGTGAAGTTCAAAAAGGAAGCGCTGAGACATTTTTCCGAAAAGTCAAGTTCTGGAAAGAGGATGCTGAAGGAGATGCTCCACCTGTTTTTGTAGGTATTTCAGTCTCCGTGTTCAATATCAACTTGCGTGTGTATTATTTATTGATAAAATGAGAATTAATTTATATACTTTTCCCTAATTTTAACCTCATTTTTTTTCTTCATGTGTGATCTTTTGGTTTTTGATAGAATATAGATGGTGTGAACTACTTCCACGTGAAGGTTGCTGGCTTGCTATTTGTTGCTACAACTAGAGTCAACGTCTCTCCTTCTCTTGTTTTGGAACTTTTACAAAGAATTGCACGTGTCATCAAAGATTACCTTGGTGTTCTCAATGAGGATTCATTTCGAAAGAACTTTGTGCTCGTCTATGAATTGCTTGATGAAGTCATTGTGAGTAATTTTTTCTATTATTCTTTCCTTGTACTGATGGCTTACTTGCAGAAAATAACAGTATAGGCATGTTGACAAACGAAGCATGCTTACCGCAACTTCGTTAATCTAACCCAGGTCCTAGAATCATGATAAGAAAGTGCACTTTTGTAAATTCACTAGTAATATTTTCTTATGTATCACACTTTGAGAAGCAGGGAAATTTTGTACGAGTGCTCCATATTTTTACTCTAACCATGGTGTATACGTTATTCATTTTTTTAAAGAGAAAACTGAACTGAATTGGTTACTTGGTTAATGTATCTATTGATCACTGTAAAATATTGAATTCTGTTTATTTCCTTCCAAACTAGTAAGCTTGTTAATTTTTTTGTGCCCCCTGACTGCAGCCTTTTCTATTTGATATATCTAGTTATACTAAAGTTGATTTATTTCAGGATTTTGGTTATGTGCAAACAACATCGACTGAGGTTTTGAAGTCATATGTTTTCAATGAGCCAATTGTGATTGATACTGCACGGATGCCTCCCCTTGGTCCTGCTTCCATTTTTATGGTAACTATTTTTAGATTCAGTTTGTTACATGCTGCAGCACATTGTTGGGTGTCATGCAGGGTTTTATTGACTTGTTAAACTCCTATATTTGCAGCAAGGGACCAAACGAATGCCAGGTACTGCTATTACAAAGTCTGTTGTTGCTAATGAACCTGGTGGCAGGAAGAGGGATGAGATCTTTGTTGATGTAATTGAGAAAATAAGTGTTACGTTCAACTCTAGTGTGAGTATTTTGGTCATCTTTTATATGGTCTTTTTCATGATGTCTTCCTCCCCTTTTTAATAAACACACTGCTGCAAAATTTTGGAAGTAATTGACACAAATTTGTTGTTGGAAACAGGGATTTATACTTACAAGCGAGATAGATGGCACCATTCAAATGAAGAGTTATCTTACTGGTAACCCAGAGATTCGACTTGCTCTCAATGAGGACCTGAGTATAGGAACAAGTGGTAAGTTGATCCATGTCATATTTTTGTTCGGCATGAAAGTTAAAATGCTGAGAAAAATGTGTATGAGTTTTCTTATGTACTTTTTTTGGTTGTTTTCTTACATATTATCAACTACTATGGATGGAAATTCTTTGATGTCATTCCCTTATCTATTATATATTTAAGTTATTGATATATTGAAAATGATTCTAATTTGGTTAGTGTCAATAAGGGGATATTTTTAGTTGGGTTTAGTTAAGTGTTGGTCAAATGATCTAATGGATAATTTTGTTGAAGAGATCTGTGATGTTGACTAGTTGATTTTTCATATCCTATCAGCTTTTGCTATGTGATCTCATTCTGTCATCTTTAACAGATTATAGAGGTTCGAGTGCTGTGATTTTAGACGATTGTAACTTCCACGAGTCTGTACACCTTGATAGTTTTGATGTTGATAGAACCTTGTCATTGGTAAGTACATAGGACACTAGCTTACATATATAGAGTATCTTTGAGTCCCTTCACTAATTACTGTGCCAATGTTTGATAGGTACCACCTGATGGTGAATTTCCAGTCATGAATTATCGTATGACTCAAACATTTAAGCCACCCTTTCGTATTAATGCATTGATTGAAGAAACAGGATCTCTCAAGGTGGTTCTGAACGTCCTCACATTTTCTAAATCTTCATTTTATTTAGCATGTTATGATAATCTGCATATTTTCATAGGCTGAAGTGACCATTAAAGTGCGAGCTGACTTCAACTCAAGTGTCAATGCTAACACCGTTCTTGTACAGATGCCACTTCCTACGTTTACAGCTCGGTATTTAATTTTCTTCATGATCATTTTACATATAATTTAAATCATAGTTGATAGTAATGATTTAGTGTGTAGTTGTGAATAATGAGCTTGCTAGCTAACTGACAGGCTGGTTGGTCTTTTTGATAAAGGATCAGGACTTAAGTTACTAGAGCCCATATATTAGGTGGGCCAAATGAGGTAACCTTCAACCCACAAAAAAAAAAAAAAATAGAAAAAAAATCCATCATGCTTTAAAAAGTTATTGGCAAATGACATTGATGTTAGGCATAGTTGCTGCAACCTTTGAGTAAGCCGCAGAATTTGTTTCTTTCTTGCAATCTGGACTACATCAAGCACAAAAGATAGACCTCAGTAATTAACCAGAAAACCAGAAAAATCCCTAGCTGACAGGTTTCCTTTCCTGTCACACTTGGTTGCTTGCTTGTGATATTTTCTTGCTATTAGTAGAATGGATGGACATTAGATTGCTGAAAGCGAGATTATGAAAAAGAAAATAGCAGCTGATTTCACCATATTGATTTCTAATGCATATATGCCTTTTCAACTTTTCAAATTCTAGCAAGCCATCCCCTTTAAAGCATCCATTATTCCCACACATAAGCATTCAAGATAAAAAAATAATATATAGTGTTCATGGGCAAGTTTACCTGTCAAACAATAATAAAAGAGATTCTTAAATTGAGTTATCAGAATATTATCTTATAATAATTATTTCTGATTATCAAGAATATCATAATTTAATTATTTGAATCTAAATAGTGTGATAAAGTAAAATGATAATATAAAATGATTAAATGAAAAGGTAATTAAAAGATTAAAAAAAAAAATGTAATATTAACATTTTTTCCTTAAACTATTAACTCTAATAGTGATGCAAGACAAAAAAAAAAGAAAAATATACAAAGTTTAT